TGAATAATAGACATAAGCATAAATTGCGTACAATAATAGCACTGAAGATTTACTTACATTTAATCAGCCGCCTTTGGTATAAGGAGATCGAATGAATATCACTGAATAAACAAGAGGACAAGTAAAATTTATTACTTTAATAATTTCTAAAACCCCTTTCATAAATACTCATAAAACATGTCGTCTAAGAATTATATATTAAAAATAATATTAAATAAATAGAATGTTATCGACTGACTTAAATTAATTGCCTGGAAATTGCGTCAAAAATTAAACAAACGACATTATTTAGAATCGCAAAACTTCATTCAGGTCCTTTAAACTTAATTTGGTCAAAAATATGGAGTTGAGCAGTTTTTTTGGCCAGGTGATGAAATATAAATGAAAGCAATGTGTAATGTACAAGACTTAAAATTATATACAATATGACTTATATAACATTACATAATGATAAAATATTATGATTTAACTTGTATTCGTAACCAAATACCGGATCAGATTGTGTGATTTAGTGTTGACACTTTGCTTCTATGTTACAGCGTTTTTATATTCACTCAAAGTATTCAATCATTTGAAAGTAGTGTGAATATGGGAATCTAGACAAATAAAGCAGTTTTAAATTGATAAAGATGTCCCGGTTATCATCCTTGCATCATATTTAATGCAACCTTGGTAACCGATTGTTTTGCCACCTTTTTAACTTACAATACTTTTATACTTCTGCAACTGCTTTTAGAACTGTACCCTTTAAATTTAAATGCCTTTTATGCCTCAGAAATGATTTTATTCTAATTTATCAATTTTCTTGCTTTTGTGTTGTTTTTTTTTCAATTTTAGTGTCCTGCTATAGTTTCTGAATAGAAAATTTTGTAAACCTCTTTTGCTGTTGACAATTAGTATAGTTATAGTGGTTTAATATTGTGTATGCAAGTCAAGCTACTGCTTTGTCTTCATTTTGATACTCTTGTGAGAAAAAAATTCACATTAAGTTCTGTTTTCTAAAAGGTGATCTATCATTCTCTTAAACCAGTATTTGTTGTTTTACAAAACTCGTGTTTGCTCTATCTAAGGATGACAAAATATGCATTTCTGAGGCATAATGTGCATTTTATAGTTTTTTTTTGTTTTTGTTTTTGCTTCCAAATACTAGTAGTCTGATTCCACAAGAATAAGACAAAAGCGTTAATATGAAACGCTTTAGATGATATACAACGCACACCTTTACCAGTATCATTTAGAGATTTTCTGGTGCATTTATTCGAACAAAAAGGTTTAACAAAGGTTATTTTCTATCACTCGTATTATAGCGTATGAATTTAGTTTCCTTACTTATTACTTATTGCCTTTGTAACACAAACTGTACACTGTTAAGAAATGTGTATTGTTGACAATACATCACCATATGTATCCTTGGGTATTTGGAATTACATATGAGTGTTAAAATCCATATATCTGCGTGGAGAGTTTTAAAGTTATTCTTAGTTTATCATGAACAAAAGCTATTCCACTGTCTGTATTCATATAAGGCTGTCCCATGTTGATCATTGCATTTCACATATAAAATATTCAACGTACATCATTGATAGAAAAATGTTGCTCAAGGGGTTTCAATTAAAAAAAACTAGATAAATAAGTGGTACTTTGAGTCATTTAATTATTACCAAGTTGTTTTGTCGAATGACATTATTTTTATGTGATTACACACTTTGAAAGGTATTTTGTATAATTTATAAATTTGTATATTTTCTTATGATAAAATACTAGGTGTATCTAGGGAAAATTTCCAGCTACTTTTACAATGAAAACTTATATAACTTTGCTCATTCCTTCTTTTTGAATCAATGACAGAGGCGTTTGATTATATTTTTGTTAAGAAATAAATTTTACAGTCAAAAGCAGATCCTTATCCGTTGACACCCCCACTTTGATGAATGCCTTATGCCAGTACATTTAACATCTTACAAAACTTAAAGAAGTTATCCGGTTGAAGTATATTAACAGGAAGAAGAAATATCTCAGACTTAATATAGCACACTAAATGATATAAATGTATTACACAATGAAGTTATATAGCCATCTTGATAACTTCCTGCATAACAAATCATAATTATATTCAAATTAAACAGACAATCATGTGACATATATTAATGCAGCCAGTACAACAAGTCTTGTATGGTTCGTAGTATACGCATAAATGTTAATAAAAATGCAGCGTTCCTCACAATTCATACTTAAATTTTAAAACAAAACAAAAATGTTTAGTTAAGGCAATTTAATTTTAACAAAGAATACCTTATTTTTTGTGTAAAAATATAAGTAAAATAATACAAATAAGGTAAATTAGTAAAAAAAAAGTAGAATTATGGTTGTTTGAATTGTCAATGAAGTCATATTTTACATAAATTCAACCTTTTATAACATAATTATATAAAATTGTGCAACCGAAATACAAACTCCAACCAAAACAGGAGAAATGGCTGGAAGTCGGAAGTTTTGAAAAAAATCACTTATGGCGTTAAGTAAAAACACCATTGAAGCTATACACCATGTACACCCTTGAATCTATACGTTGTGTTTGACCACTTAGTATGGCTGCAGTTTTTGTCTAGACAATATTTTAACTTTTCATCATAATTATTCTATGTTTGACTTCCGTTTTCCTCTATTTTAGAGTCTTGTATTTCAATTACCCAACTTAATGTGACAATAAGCTTTTATTATTAAAATAGCAAACAATGTGCTCCTATAATATCACGATTGTTTTTCTTTAAAATTATGTATTACAAAAATTTTTACATAGATTATAAAATTATGATATTTAATTATTTAAATGTTCCATAAGTTATCTAAATATGCCTTTAGACTAATGGAACAGGCTAAATCTAACATTTGTACTAGCAGTTGTAACAACATAATTCATACTTAAAAGCAGGGGGAAATGTTACAAGAATGTTATGTCTTGATACAAAAATCAGAACTATTTTGTCCTACACATTTAAAAACAAAACTAATATTATTTTTGATTCAGCTAAACTATTCATAAAAATGAACTTCTTTAACAAAATCATAAGAATCACGGCGGTCTTGCGTACAGAAGAAATACCGCAGGTAACAATGACAGACATGGTTTTGGTACATATCCCTCTAAAAATAATTTTCTTATTTCATGTTAAGCATTTTACGATGTAAGTATCATAGTGATAACAAGGATAATTACATAAAGGCAATCTGAACATGGAAGTGAGAGAGAAATCAACATAATAATTTTTGAAAATATTTTAATAACCAAAGATAATAATATTATGTAACCAGGTATCAATATCGTGTTTCACCATATAACAATATACAAAGATTTCAAACTGAAGAAATAGTAACAAAATAAATAAATAAATTAGTTAATAACATGTTTTAACAAAACTATAATATACAAATATATGTGCAAAAATGAGCAAACAATATTTGCTTTACAAATTAAGACTAGTGCAGGATTTTTAAAACAAAACAAATTTTGAGAAACGAAAGTGCCAGTACTGCAGTTCATAGTTAATATTTTCTTCCGCAAACACTTTCCCTGAACAATCACTTTCTTTAAATCACCACGTTTACGACGATTTCTATTTATTGACACAACATGTACAATTTAGAACAAAATGTCTTGTACTGAATACAGCATAAACGGTTAGACCTTTAAATACAATTTTTATTTTGGTATGGGTTTTAATTTTAAGGCCAACACTAAAGTTGCATGGCGACTTCCCAGCTTTACTGGCGCAAGAAGACCTCATATCCTTCACATGCACTATTTTAGACAAAAACGAGGCACCTGAGTAAACATATTGTTAAACAAACAAACTGAATATAAGAAAATCCAAAAAGAATAGCAGAATTTGAATTCACATAAGTGAACAGCAAATAAATTAATGTCAGCAACCTTTACCTGGACCAAAGAGACCACTTTACCCAACTAACAGTGCTGGCATTTTAATACAACCTTTACTGTTCAAAACACTTAACCTGCTGATTAGTTTAAAACAAATTGGAGACAGTCTATTTGAATTTTAAAGGATTCAATAACAAAATGCAAACTTTTGGATGCAAATTGTATCAGTTCAGGGTCTACACTAGTGGCAATGTCTAATCATTTTCAGTTCTAGCAGGTTGAAAGTTAATCTGAACAATGTAAATATATTAAATATACAAATGATGTTGAATGAAATGAAAATAAATAAAAACAGTATAAAATGCATGCAAAGTGATATCAAGTGCTCTTAATTGTAATACTACATAAACTTCATTATGTCATAATGAACACCTTTCTTTACAACTGTAATGCACGAAGCAAACAATGCACATTCAATTACTTTTTCAAATGACAAAAACGTCAAGTTATTAACATACCAAACAAAGTTCAATTTTAATAAAACGTGACATCATTTCTGTAAGTGAATTTCATCGTAAAAATAATCAAAATGATACATAAAAATACAGATTTCAGTTTTAAAACGAAATCAATGAAAACTTCAAATATATTGACTTTAGTTGTCCGTAATACCTCCCTTTACACTGAAATTTTTTTTGAGATTGACTGTTTTAATGAAAATTTTTATCTCAAAAAATAAATTTTATTTTTGGTAAAAGTTAAAATCTGCACAACTCCAGCTTTACAAAAATGTTGATTTTTGAAACAGTTGCTTTTAACATAGTCTTAGAACCGAAAGAGCAAAACGAACCAGTAAAAAGGCACACTTTTATAACAAATAACTTGCTTAGTTTATAATAATGTCCATCATGCATTAATACAACTGTCTATTAACAATTTTTTTAGTTATCGAGATGAAAATTTGAAGCGCTAAGCCTGGCAAGATGCAACATTGCATTTTCTATTTCATTTGTACTGACATCCTTGACATAGGCAACTTATATATTTATACTAACAAAATAAAAATCTGAAATTAGACGTAGATTCTAAAGATGTATACTTCTAGATTAACAATTAAAGATTTATACAAAAATATGAAAATCTATTGAGAGTCAGAGAAATGTACAAATACTCATAATCCATATTTTATTTGGTGAACATATCATATGCAAATTGAGCTGAATTCACTATTATAATAATTATTCCAAAGTCGTTAAATGGCCTTGTCCAGCATCCATTTTAGGAAGTGTCCATTATAATTTTTTTGAGAAATCAAAATGAAACTTCTGTTAACAAAACTTGGCCAGATTGCATAAATATAACGTCTTACATGCCTGTATACTGTAGGCAAAAGTACATGCAAATCACTTTCAATTCGAGCAGTTAAATCTTAAAACTGTCATTTTAATGAAAAAACAATATAAAAAAACTTGTTCTTAAGATCTGTCATCAAGATAATACATTATACATTAAAATCCCATATTCGGATTTTATTATCAACAGAGGCACTGGAAATTCGGAGTTCGTCAAAGTAGATAGCATTTACCTCGCGTCCCCTGTGCCCCACAAACGTCTGAACACTCTTATCCCTGGGTAAATTAAAAGAAAAGAAAAGTAAATTATAAATATAAAATGTTCGTCAAATGTCCTGAATGTTATCATCGTTTAAGCTCATTTCTCACTTGAGAGTTGTTATAATTCTTATGTCTAGAAAGTTAGCATAAAAGTAAGATAATGAGGTATTATATTGTTGCAATCTTTTTTTGATTAAAATTTATGGGAATTTAGATATTAATCTATGAGTGTACTTAACAAACATTGTGAATGAAGCGTCATGTCAACTGTCCCTATTGAGATTTGATAGTTTCGGATAGAATCGGTGCACTTAAGATGTACCCCAAACAATCAGAATATAAAAATCAATTAATAATTTTATCAGCTTCATAGTATTAATGTTTTGCAAACCAGTATTATAAATATTGGTATCTCTAATACCTTTAAACACGCTGAAGAAGGTTCATTCAAATATTGTAGGTCTGTCTTAAAAGCACTTGACTCTCACGTAAGTGGTTTTAATTTTCACTTATAAATTAATTTTGCCATGTAAATAATATTAATAAACTTTTCAGTTAAGATTGTTGAAAATCAAAGGTTCTACTATGATGCAAACAATAATGCAGTTGGAAAGCGCCTCAGGACTTCAGCCACTAATAATTAATAATATTAATCAGGTAGACCGTGAAATTAAAAGTGTCATTAAACTGATAGGAATATTTTCACAGTCGAGTAAGAAAACTTCCGAATCTTTACACAAAAATATGTAAAATGACAAGTGTACTTACTTTTTGATATCCCAGTATTTGACAGCTCCATCTTTACCAGCACTAACTATGATGCCTTCACCTTTCTCTTTATCTAATATACTCAATTTCAAACATTCTATCCTGTAAAAAGAAAGGCAGTTGCTTACCATTTATTCTGAAAGATTTGAAACATTGTATGCTGTAAAGTACTAAATAAAAACAATCTTTTGTAAAATACTTAATTTCAAACAATACATCCTGTAAAATAAAGAATTTTAAACAATTCATTCTGTAAAATAAACACATCCTTCTTACAGTCAGACATACAAATGCGCACAAAGAATGTTCAAAAAAATAAAGAGAACCCTTTATAGTATTTTATTCGTTAACGGCAACTTCCACGGCAATTCATGGAATTAAAATGGTATAACTATAGATTTGTAATTGGTAATCTCATGGAATAAAACTCTTAACAGTAATGAAGCACTATAATAAGCAATGTTTATAATGTTATACACTTTGACAAGAGTCAAATTTGATCACGTGTCTCTAAAATAAGTGGACAAAGGAAATAAAATATTCTTTATAATACAATTTCAGAGGGAGCTTTCATTAGCCTATTTTAACAACATATTTAGATTAACATACATTAAAACGTGTGTTTGCTGGCATTTATAAATTGAAAGAAGAGTTGTTAATTAGCATACAAATTGTGAAAGCAAAACTTTTATAAATGGGTGTTGTAGACAATTGTTAGTAAATATATAGCCAAGTTGACAAAAAAGTGTTAAATCAGCTATAATAAACTATCTTAATTATTTACTTAAAATGAAAGATGAGGTTTAATTTAAATTCTTATTAAGTTGTTTGTTTGTTTGATTATTTGAACTTGTTGGATGTTTGTTTAAGTCAAAACAGAATTTATTTAATTAACTTTTAGATACAATTTCAAAATCCGTTCCTGCAGTATTTCGCAATGAAAGTAATGTCTCTTGCTTATAGCAACATATAAATCATATAAAATCAGCACACATTTCTTAGTTTTTTTCCCAATCCTTAATCCTTTTCAAGTTAAAAATTGACCACTTCTCCCATTACAAACACTTGAATATGTGCAGCAGGTGTAAAGTGCTGTGTGGCAGCCGTAAGAAGTTGCCCCGTACTTGCTATATTTTTTTGGTCCTTCGGGATCATTGAGTCCAGCACTTTTAAGTGTTGAGAATTGATTACCGCTCAAGCCGGTGCTAGGGGGCGTGAGGGATGTTGCACTTTTTCATTATCCCTCATGTACAGACTCAATCAAACCGAGTCTGCAATTTTCATGTAATTTTGCTGTTTTAATGCTTCTGAGGGATCACTTTTTTCCAGATATTTATACATCACAACAGCAGGTGTCAAGTGCTGTGTGGCAGCCGTAAAAAGTTGCCCCGTACTTCACTTCAGTGTTGTTATATTTTTCTGGTCCTTCGGGATCATTGAGTCCAGCACTTTTAAGTGTTGAGAATTGAGTACCGCTCAAGCCGGTGCTAGGGGGTGTGAGGGATGTTGCACTTTTTCATTATCCCTCATGTACAGACTCAATCAAAACGAGTCTGCAATTTTCATGTAATTTTGCTGTTTTAATGCTTCTGAGGGATCACTTTTTTCCAGATATTTATACATCACAACAGCAGGTGTCAAGTGCTATGTGGCAGCCGTAAAAAGTTGCCCCGTACTTCACTTCAGTGTTGTTATATTTTTCTGGTCCTTCGGGATCATTGATTCCAGCACTTTTAAGTGTTGAGAAGAATTGAGTACCGCTCAAGCCGGTGCTTGGGGTGTGAGAGATGGTCCACTTTTTCATTATCCCTCATGTACAGACTCAATCAAAACGAGTCTGCAATTTTTATGTTATTTTGCTGTTTTAATGCTTCCAATGGATCACTTTTTCCAGATATTTAGCATACAGTAAGAGGCTTTTTTATTCTTTTTTCGCAAAATCATCCAAAGAAATGTGTGTCTGAGTGCTAAAATAGAAAACAATCAAAATGCAGAAACTCAACACTAGCTTCACCGGGGGTTTCCCTAAGTTTGTTAAAAGCTCGAAAAATTTGCTTTTATAAATCATCTGCTTCATATAGAGATGCATATTAATTGTTAAGATTATCAAGCCTACATATTTCAACTACGTTTTATTGTTTAATACTACGTTTTATTGTTTAATATTTTCATGTGAAACTCCAGACAGTCTATTCAAATTAATACCCTTAAGAGCAATTTTCAACTCTATTTAGTCTGATTGTCAGATAAAAATTCTGCAATAACGGCAGCAACTACTGACAATAAGCATTATGACATCATCAATATTTCTATATATCTCAAGTGTAACATAAACGTTCTCTGGATATCAAATTACGAGTTTAAAATAAACAGAGAAAATGCAGTACCAAAACTAGATGTAAGTTGGTGAGTAAATAAAGGCAAGAATAATCTGAAAATCTCAGACAAAATAGATCAGTATTCGGAAAGTTTATAAAATTATAAAGATTTTTGACAGATTATATGCCCCAGTATAAACGAGTGTAAAAAAATAAACGAGTGTAAAAAAACCTGTCATTTTAAGACAATGTATAAATGGTTGTAAGCCTTTATAACATAAACGATTGGACCAATTTTAAAGATGGTTTTCTCTCACTGTCAAAAAGTCATAGCCAATACCATGTTAACTCGATATCTCTTTCGACAGCACTAACTAGTTAGACTTATATAATAACATGAGTCGCTTGAAGTAGGTTATTTGTCAAACAACCAATTTAACAAAGACATATAACCAGTCAAAAAGTCTTTATAATAGGGGCATATTTTAATTAGTGGCATCAACTCGATTTGAACATAATTTGCACGTGAAAGTACATTGTATATGTGTAATAAATTTGGAAGTTTATTGATTTTTCTAACCAACAGTCTATTTTCGCACGATTTGTACGTGCAATAAAATCTAAGCAGGTCATTTAAATGCATGTGGTTTTGTATACTAGTTGTTAACATGGCGAAGTTGAGTTGTGATTTGAGAGAGGAGCAGAGAGCGAAATTCATGGGTAAATGGGTCAGAAGTAAAAACGGATCTACATTTAGTTTAAAGAGAAAATGCCCATCCATATCGTACAATTGCCATGTGGGTGGTATTGTTTAAGGAAGGAAGAACTAATAATTATTAAGGATGATCCCACGATCTAACTTCTGACCAGAAAAAGGAGTGGGTTGAAAAAGCCTCTGCTTTATAGACGAGGTTCAAAGATCAGACACCAGAGAGAAATTGCCACATGCTCCACAAAGTAGGAGCGTAAAAGAGTTATATACGCTCTATTTTTGACTGATGGAATAGATGTGGCTCGTGTCACTGTGCCTGAGAGGGGTAGTGTCACTGGAACATTTAACCATGACCATTTTCTTACTGCATTAATCACTACATTACAAAGAAGCCAAGGTCCGAGGTGTGCAGGATCAAATTTCTCCATGATAATGCACTTGCGGACTGGTAAGCCTTGGTTCAAGCTTATTAAGAGGAGCAGAGAATTGAGGTTTTGCTACATCCCGCTTATAGTCCTGGCCTCTCTCCTTGTGACTTTTTGTTAAATGCATACATCAAATCTTGCCTCGGCGGTCTCTGGTTCGAAATCGCAGTGCCTTCAGAAGTGCTCTATTCCAGTGTATAAACAGTATACCCGTAGAACAGTTCAAAAATGCTTTTACAGAATGGTTTCTGGGTCTTGAAAAGTGTGTAGACGTCCATGGCGAACATTTGTAAGGACTCTGCTAATCATTTTTCACAGGTATGACTTATTTATAAACGCGCTGCAGTGCCACACTAGTTAAAATATGCCCCTCGTAATGATTGTATAATACTGCACAATTCTTTTTTTATTTGAATAAAATTAATACATATATTTAGAGCAGTTAAGTGTACATCAATTATACGTTTATAAATATCACAATTTTCTAATGTAAAATTGATTTCACAAATATGCAAAAATATATTTTTAGTTATAAAGACACGTTTGACAGATTAAATGACGCAGTATAAATGGTAGAATGTATTTCTTATATTACGAAAAAAACTATTTACACATAGCCTTATAACCTGTCAGAAATCTTTAAAGCACGTTTTTAACACATCACATTTCCTTTATTTAAATTACTTCATAGAGTTACAAGGGCGTGTATATGTATATTGATTATATAAATGTCATGCCTAGACAGGACAAACGTGCAGTTTTATAAAACTAAGTGTAAGAAAATATCAAATATGCATGTATAATACAAGAATATGGTTTTACTTCTAGAAAACTACGTAAATAATAATTCACACTTCTTACATATATGCCGATACATTAATTACCTTTTTGGCTTAGTAAGTTCACTAAAAAAGGGATTTTATCATTAAAAACAAATCTGATAAAATCTTAACGAGAGCTGTTAGAAGAGCAGCAAACTCCATTTTCTCAGAGCTGCCAGCTATGTACTGCAAATATTTGTCCAAATTATATGTATTAAAATCATTAAAATATATGCATTCATTTCTTATTGAAAAATTTGACTAAGACTTTATAGAAAATAAATTTCTTATTACCTCCCTTTATTAACATGAAATGTTAATTTGGTAATATCTTTACAAATAATGCTTTTTGGAACTTACATTATTGATAAATCTTCATTTGAGCATTTTCTATATGATATAAAACCATAAAAAAATTGAGTTAACAGGATCTTTAAAAGTATTATTTTTGTTTTATTTGCCCTTGTGATATGGCATCATATTTCAGTAATCATCAAGTGCATCTGAATTACAAGTTGAGGTGAATAACTTTCTGTATTTCTGAGTATCTTAACATTAATGTATCACCTGGTATAGGTACCAATGATCTCGACCTTTGACAGAAAATGGATGAGACACGTGGAACTCCAGGAACATTTATATATATATATATAATTTCAATCTTATACCATTTAATTCATTAATAGTGGATTTAATGACCATAAACAAAAACTTAACAAAAGAAATTAACCAACGCTGGCTGGAAAAAAAAACGCAGACGCCAAATCTGCCAAGTGGATCATGACAATCACTCCACTTTTTCTTAAGTAAAATGAATGATGTTATTTTACATGTAACCAAAAGATATTTTGTTTTTGTTTTGGTCATTTACAAAACATTTTCAAACAATATATCAAACGAGAACATTGGGAGTATAAACACTACATGTCTAGACCATTAATAATAAATGGTAATATAATTAATAATGAAAATGATAACATAATTATAATCATTATAATCATAAAATTAACCAGCAAAAGTTATTTATAATGATAGCAACAATTATGACAGTTATAAGATAAATAAAATAACAATTATAATAATAACAAGAGCTGTTCTCAAGACTCAGCTTAATGCTTGACAGTCATAAAAGTGGCATAACTCTATAATAACTCTTTAAAAAGGGTAACACATAGTTATGGGACTTGTACCCATCATGTTTGATAATCACAGAGAACAAGTGTCAACCAATTCCCTTCAGTAGTTTTGGAGAAACTAACTTGCATGCAAAACCTTAACCAAAGTGTGACGGCAACAGGAACACAAGGTTGATTACAATAGCTCTCCCTATTCCTCGAACAGTTTGATCTAAATAATGGATAATAATGTTAAAAATAATAATTATTATTATAGTAATAACAACTTACATAATTTTTTTGGAAGCCAATTTAAATTTTTTTTTTAATTAATGACTGAAAATTATTTTTTTCAATTAATGACTGAAAATTAAACTACAAAATGTACCTTTTCTGGTGTTCATTCACAATATCTAAGTATTTTTTCAGGAGTCTTGTTGGACCTTCAACTTTGTACACACAAATTGTTTCGCCATATGAACATGCTAGATGACCTTGACTGTAACTGACAGACATTATAGAGGTTGTCTGACTGACACTTATCCAACGTAAACATCTCCCAGTCTCAATATTCCAGATTTTCACACTCTGTAACAAGAAAAAATGCTTAATCATTATAAAAGTGTGTGTACATATTACTTTGAAAAGGTTGTAGCTAATTTTAACCAGTCTCAAGATCACTTCCTACTGATGTCATATAAGAAAAATATGGTAGAAATGTTCCTTAGAGCATGCAGAGTGAGTTGGAAAAAAATTACTTATGTTTATACAACAAACTATTTTCAGGGCAAGCTGTCAATCATTAGTTATTTCTTGACTGAAATAACAAGAGATAGCCAGAAGTAAGAAATAACAGAGACATGTTATAAATAAACAAGAAGGCCATGATTGCCCTGAAATCGCTCACCTGTATATAAGCCCCTGTGCCAAGGCCAATTTTGAAACAGGGGCTTTTTTTTTAACAAACTTGGTAGACACACACACTAGAAGATATTTCATGTTTAGTATCTAAACTCTAGCTCTTTGGGTTTTGTTTTTATAAGAAGATTTTAAGTTTTTGCTATACACATATAAGAAAAATCAATGACCCCCTGGGATGGGGCCAATTTTAACCCAAGGGCCCTTATTTGAACAAACTTGGTAGACACCCATAAAAAGATATTTCATGCTTAATATCTTAGCTCTAGCTCTTTGGGGTTTTTAAAAGAAGATTTTTTAAGTTTTTACTATATACAAATAAGGAAAATCAATGATCCCCTGGGGCAGGGCCAATTTTTACCCCTTTTCTTTGAACAAACTTAGTAGACACCCACTAGACTAAGATGATTTTTCATGTTTAATATCTAAGCTCTAGCTATTTGGGGTTTTTAAGAAAATGATTTTTTATATGTTTTTACTATATACATATAAGAAAAATCAATGATCCCCCTGGGGTGGGGCCATTTTTGACCTCAGGACATTCATTTGAACAAACTTGTTAGACACTGACTAGATGATATTTCATGCCAAATATTTAAGCTCTAGCTCTTTTGGTTTTCTAAAAGAAGATATTTTAAATTTTTCTTCAGTTGCCATGGCAACCAGAGTTCTGCTTGGAATTAAATTCTTTGAACAATTTTTAAAGTTGACTACCAAAGGAACATTCCTGTGAAGTTTGGATGACATTGGCTTTGAGGTTTATGAGGAGATGTTATTAAATGTAAAAGTTTACGGAGGGACAGACAGATGGACGGACGTTGGACGAAAAGGGATCACAAAAGCGAAAAAGAGACAGAATAGAACAGTGAAGAAACTGGCATAGAACAAAGATAAACAGAAGGGAGAGAACTGTGAAATATCAGAGATAGAACAGAGAAAAAATCAGAGAAAGAAAAGTGAAATGTCAGAGCAATAAAATAACAGAGATAGGACAATAAAATAACAGAGATAGAGCATCGGAATAACAGAGACAGAACAGCGAAACAACAGAGATAGAACTGTGAGATAACAGAGGCAGTACAATGATTCAACTAATAGAAAAATGAATTAAGTTATATATAATATGCATACAGGTGTACATAAGGAAATCAGGCAGCACCTCCTTGCACTTGTAAAATTTGAAAGTCATTACATGTATTAAATCATTCAACTGTGACTTGCATCTGTGAATCATATTGTCAAGTTGTAAGCATACCTTATCTGCCGACCCTGTTATAACGAGGTGACCATCTTCACTCATGTCCACTGCAAATATAGCTGCTGTGTGACCCAGTAAACTATTTATGTGAAGGCATCTGTTCATGTCCCAAACTTTTGCCTGGAATAAGCATGAAACATTTAAATGACTATTTTCAAAAAGATTCCTATTGCTTAACAGACATCCATTTTGTTTTCTTTAATTCTATTTTATTTTGCGTACCAGACATCAATGTTGCTTTCTTTAATTCTGTTTTATTTTGTGTACAAGGCATCTGTTTTGTTTTCTTCAATTCTGTTTTATTTTGCATACCAGTCATCTGTTGTTTTTTTTTAATTCTGTTTTATTTTGCGTACCAGGCATCTGTTTTGTTTTCTTTAATTCTGCTTTATTTTGCGTACCAGGCATCTGTTTTTTTTTTTTAATTCTGCTTTATTTTGCGTACCAGGCATCTGTTTTGTTTTCTTTAATTCTGCTTTATTTTGTGTACCAGGCATCTGTTTTGTTTTCTTAAATCCTGCTCTATTTTGGGTACCAGGCATCTGTTTTGTTTTCTTTAATTCTGCTTTATTTTGCGTACCAGACATCTGTTATGTTTTCCTTAATTCTGTTTTAAATGACTTAGAAATCCTAATTCAAGATAATCATTAAAACAAAATTTCAAACTAGAAATGTGTCATCATGCCACGGATGCCCCCGCACGCAGCCAAAATTTCAGATGGTGCATAAATTATTCTTTTCATTTTAAGTTCAAAGCCCTTAAAACTTTTCAATGTTAACACAAACCATTTTCAAACAATGTTCAAGGCACTGAAATAATTCAGTCTTGACCTTTTAATAATAGCATATTGCATATTTGTAGCCAAAATAATGGCTAAAAGTATGAGTGCTGAAACTGAAAGTTCAAAACCACGACCAAATTCAAACTTAAACTGCTTATTCCTAAGATGTATCTATATTATTTTCAAAGTGAAAGGGACATAACTCTGCCAAAAAATCATCAAACCATGACCAAATTCCAACTTGACCTGCCCATTCCTTTGACATATCCATATGTCAAATTTAAGTTGAATATTTAACACTATTGGGTAGATAATGAACAGAAACTGTAAATTTCATATTATTTTCAAGTGAAAGGGGCATTACTCTGCCAAAAATCATTGAACCATGACCAAATTTGAACTTGGCCTGGGCATTCCAAAAACATATCCATATGTCAAATTTGAGTTGAATGTGTTGTACCATTGGGGAGATAATAAACGGAAACTGAAAATTTCATATTATTTTCAAAGTAAAAGGGGCATAACTCTGCCAAAAATCATCGAACCATGACCAAATTCGAACTTGACCTGTATTTTCTCATGACATATCCATATGTCAAGTTTGAGTTGAATGTGTTGTACCATTGGGGAGATAATGAACGGAAACTGAAAATTTCATATTATTTTCAAAGTAAAAGGGGCATAACTCTGCCAAAAATCATCACACCATGACCAAATTCGAACTTGACCTGTATTTTCTCATGACATATCCATATGTCAAGTTTGAGTTGAATGTGTTGTACCATTGGGGAGATAATGAACGGAAACTGAAAATTTCATATTATTTTCAAAGTAAAAGGGGCATAACTCTGCCAAAAATCATAAAACCATGACAAAATTCGAACTTGACCTGTATTTTCTCATGAAATATCCATATGTCAAGTTTGAGTTGAATGTGTTGTACCGTTGGGGAGATAATGAACGGAAACTGAAATTTCATATTATTTTCAAAGTAAAAGGGGCATAACTCTGCCAAAAATCATCGAACCATGACCAAATTCGAACTTGACCTGTATTTTCTCATAACATATCCATATGTCAAATTTGAGTTGAATGTGTGCAACCGTTCTTAAGATAATGAAAGGAAACTGATGATGACGGAATGACAGAATGACGGAAGGACGGAAGGATGGAAGGACGGAAGGATGGAATGACGGAACAGGGTAACACTATATGCCCCGGCCATTACATGGCGGGGGCATAAAAATATAGCCTGTCTGGGCATTCTATCATGAATTGTCTGTATTATCTGATATTCTCAATTTCAAACAGTATAATACAGTCTTCAAATCAATATTTTTATAATTAACAGGGCCATGATGGCCCTGAAATCGCTCACCTGTATATAGGCCCTTGGGGCTGGGCTAATTTAAACCCAGGGGCTTTTTTAACCAACTTGGTAGACACCCATTAGAAGATGTTTCATGATAAATATCTAAGCTCTAGCTCTTTGGGGTTTTTATAAGAAGATTTTTTAAGTAAACTGCTATAGACATATAAGGAAAATCAGACCCCCCGGGCGTGGCCAATTTAACCATAGAGATTATATTTGAACAAATTTGGTAGACACTCACTAGAAGTTGTTTCATGCTTAATATCTAATATCTAGCTCTATAGGTTATTTAAAAGAAGATTGTTTTTACTATAGACATATAAGAAATAAGTACCCCCGGGGCAGGGTCAATATTGATCCCTGGGCTTTTATTTGAACAAGCTTGGTAGACACTCATCAGAAGATGTTTCATGCAACTCCTTTGGGTTTTTTAAAAGAAGATTTTTTAAGTTTTTAGTATATACATATAAGACAAGAGCGATCAGTAATCACATGTGTCGCCTCATCATGGCCAATTTTATGTTGGGACAAGTTTTGTGACAGACAAACAGACAGACAGTCATATTGCATGGGTTTTTCGGTTGAATGATTTTTGGCCGAGTTATGGCCCTTTGATAAAAAGGTGTTTTTTTCTGTGTGTTGCCAGATACACAAAAGCTTGTCCGGACTACTCCCCAAAAACTACTGGTGCAATTTCATCCATTTGTGACAGACAAACAGACAGACAGACGGCAGTGCACAACTAGACTTGGTACTGACCATTCCTGTAAAGTTTGGATAAAATTGCACCAGTAGTTTATGAGGAGTAGTCCGGACAAGCTTTTGTGTATCTGGCAACACACAGAAAAAAACACCTTTTTATCAAAGGGCCATAACTCGGCCAAAAATCATTCAACCGGAAAACCCATGCAATATGCGCAAGGACTTGAGCTATAGATCAATCCTGTAAAGTTTCATTTAAATTGCATTAGTGGTATTAGAGAAGTAGTCCGGACAAACTTTTAAAAATAAAAATTATTAAAGGGCCATAACTCTGACAAAAATCATTGAACCGGAAAATACTGACAATATGCACAACTAGACTTGGTACTGATCATTCCTGTAAAGTTTGGATGAAATTGCACCAGTAGTTTTTGAGGAGTAGTCCGGACAAGCTTTTGTGTATCTGGCAACACACAGAAAAAAACACCTTTTTATCAAAGGGCCATAACTCGGCCAAAAATCATTCAACCGAAAAACCCATGCAATATGCACAAGGACTTGAGCTACAGATCAATCCTGTAAAGTTTCATTGAAATTGCATTAGTGGTATAAGAGAAGTAGTCCGGACAAACTTTAAAAATAAAAATTATTAAAGGGCCATAACTCTGACAAAAATCATTGAACCTGAAAATGCTGACAATATGCACAACAAGACTTGGTACTGATCATTTCTGTGAAGTTTGGATGAAATTGCACCAGTAGTTTATGAGGAGTAGTCCGGAGAAGTTTTGTGACGGACAGACGGACAGACAGACGACGGAGAAGTGATCCCTATATGTCGCCACTACTGACACAAAAAATCAATAATCCCCGGGGCGGGCCAAATTTGACCCCAAGGGCTTTCATTTGTACAAACTTGGTAGACACTATCAGACACAGACAATGTTTCATGCCAAATATTTAAGCTCTAGCTCATTCTATTTTTTTAATGAAGATTTTTTAAGTTTTTACTTTACACATATAAGGAAAATCAATGACATCCCCCCCCCCCCCCGGTGGGCCATTTTTGACCCTAGGGCTTTCATTTGAACAAACTTGATAGACACTCACTAGAAGATTTTTCATGCCAAATACCTAAGCTCTACTAGCTCTTTTGGTTTTTTAAAAGAAGATATTTTATAGCAGTTTATGAGGATATGTCGTTAAAGTAAAAGTTTACGGATGCTGGACGGCCGGACGCTGGACAAAAGTGATCACAAAAGCTCACCATGTCACTTTGTGACAGGTGAGCTAAAAATAGCTCAGCTATTTAAATAAATTACAAAATTCATGTAATTGTTGCAATTAATCCATTATAAGGTCATTTTTAGATATTATTAAATTAAACAATGAAAGGAATTTAGGTACAAGCATAAAATTGTCAAACACAATTAAATTGACTGTAAGATTTTCAAAGGCTGAGTAGATAAAATTGACTTTGATCAACTTCTGCCTTGATACCCATGAGGCGAATTCTCTCAAGCAATAAGTTTTTAAACAACGAAAGCTCACTCTTGATCAATGTGTGTTTACTGCAATTTCTAGTATGCAAAAAGGTTACACATAAACTGCTCTCCTTTCATGTTTAAGCAGGAAATTCATCACATTTTTGGCTGGATTTTAGGTCAGACAGACCATGTAAAAGTCATATGGCAATTTCAGGGCTTAACTTAAGGATAAAGAACCAAGATATCACCCCAATCCAATATCTCTGCAGGTTTTTTAACCGTCAAGAGATCAGGTTTTTCAAAGTCAGAGATCTTAACTACTCAGCCATGAAAACCCTAATGATTCGCCTGGAAAGACTTTACATTGACTTAATACGAACACAGAACGAGGAGAGAAATTTACCGTTTTATCTTGTGAGACAGTGACTAGAATTTCATTGTGTCTGGTAAGTGCCCAGATTGGTCCATCGTGAGCTATAATTGTCTTGTTACACTTGCCAGTCCTGAGATTCCAAACCTGAGAAAAGAAAGTTTGACCCAATATAAGCAGTTATACAACTAACATCATATAACATGTCAAAAGTGTTTATAACAAATTTATATAACAGCATATTATTACTTTCAATAATTGAAATATTAATTGACTTATCTGCAGCAGATAGGTACATGTATAAAGGTAGTATAAAAATCAAAATAGTTCAATAGAAAATTGTTATTGCAAAAGTGAAAAACTATCGTACTAAAGTACATGAAGCAATGTTCAACTGGATGTATAATATGAGTACATGCACTTATCAGGATCAGGCAATAACACAGGTAGTACTGAGATTTGCTAATTAAGTGAAAATCAAATGTGGAAGCATTAACACTCATTAGCTATCAAACCTCCCTTATTTAATGATATGTGTATAGGTCAAAACTTTGTCAAATAACAATAACTAAGTACATGTGAACTTTGTGTAGACATAGCTACCATTACTTAACGGGAAATCCTCTGCAGCAAATTTACTGGAAACTGTTAAAAATACCTAAGAATTTGTGATTATAGACAGAGAACAATTTTTGATGCATCTGTATATATCCCCCCCCCCTTTTTTTTGTAAGGTTTTTAGTCATAACAACATGTTAAAGGTTGTATAACAACTTTCCAGCTTGACTGGTTTAGAAAAACCTTAATTAACCTTTCTTGAATTATTTCAGAACATGCTGGCAGCAGAGTATATCTACCAATCTTTCATCAAGTTGATGAATAGTTTCCTTTTATGTAAGAAATCAAAGTCCCTCGCAGAATTTGAACCCACAAGTCATTGCCCATTGATAGTCAGCCACCATTAGCACTTTACTTCACAGATCATACTTTACTGTATTTGTATTGAAAGATAAATCTTAAATAAATTTACAGAAATTTGGAGTTTTATATACCCTGATGGTGCCATCATAAGATCCACTGATTAGAAGATTATGAGTAAAGAAGTTCAAGCACCAAACGCCCTTCACATGACCTTTGAAAACGTGTAGACATTTGCCTGTCTTTATGTTCCACACTCTAATTGTTTTGTCAAGGCTACCACTAGCCAGATGTACATGGTCAAATATAACACATATAACGCTGAAAAGAAATGGAAATTTTTGATGATGTACCACAAGTAAAGGATATGGATACAGAGAGTGTCACACAGTAATTTATGTCAACTTTTTTCATGAGCCAACTCAAAATCATTGAATTAACAATTTCATTATGAATTAAAGCATATCTTAACCATTACCCTGCTGAAACCGACAGTAAATACACTTTACCACCAGTATAGAGCCAATACTGCAATATCATTGCATTTTGACCAGACTTTATATTGTTCAACAGTTGGCTGACCCAAGTTCAAGAATCCTCAAAAATGAAAATGGCCAGTTCTAAAATTGGAAGCTTGTCAATTTTTGATTTAGAAGCTTAGCAGGTTAATGTTTATAAAGCACTTTTTTATAGCACTTCAATATTTCGGGAGGGGGGGGGGGGATTTTAAAATTGCTCTGATAAGTAAATATTTTGTAAAGTAATAAACAGATATAGCTGTGGTCCTCAACTATATATCCATAGAAATAACTTACAACGAGTCATAAAATGCAGATATACCCACACACCAACAATAAAAGGGTAGAAAAAGGACAATAAAAGAGCATATTGGAGTAATTTTCATAAGGGTCAGCCATCTGGTTAACTCAATAGGTAGAGCATTGGACTATGAATCTGGCGATCTTGGTCTGATTCCCAGACGCGCAGGTCACTTTCGTTGTGATTGATCAAGAAATCCTTTCTACTGTTATTCGCACTGTAACCTTTGCTCTTGCATGTACAGAAGTTTCAGTTCCTTATGAAAGTGGAGGCAACTAGTACTGGTAAACTGCTCGACAGCCTGCTTTGGAACGATGCGGTGGTTGAACTGTGCTCTGGTGAATTCAGTGTGGCTTACTGTTGTGATCTGGAGTAAAAACTACCATCACCACACCACCACCACCCATTTCATAAGGAATACTCATACATTTTGAAAATTCTATATGTAATTTTGTCACATTATAGTTTTGAAAATATTTTCATTCATCTTGCAACATGCAGTTATAAACGTGAAAAGCACAATTTCAAACCTATCTGAGTGTCCCTTGAAATCTGTAATTTTACATTTGGCACTGTTCCAATTAACTCGTAGATATTTATTGTCTTTGTACAGTTTCTTCCATTCCGGTTGATCAGTGACAGGAACTTCCATTTTAACACATTCACATTTATGTTTCCAGAGGTCATTGTTGTTGGCTAATATGTTCCACGTTTTCGATACCTGTCAAAAGTAAATTCATACAGTAGTTAGATGCAAGTTACAACTTGACCTCCCGTTATGCTCTCAAATAAGTTTGTGGGCTACAAGCATATATTGTAAATGTTTGATCAGATATGACGTTGCATGCAAAACTTTTAACCAAAATGATACACTGATGCCTGGGTAAGTAGGATAGTCATACTATTGTTCAGATAGTCAGACTAAACTAGAACTCCGCGAGTCGGATGTGTCACCTCATGAACAGTATAGCTGTCACTTAGGCATTTTCTTCTTAAAAATAGGTTAGTTATAAACACTGCTCTTACAATGTACATGACCTTGATCTTAAGCGGCATTTGAAATGATTGTAACAATGTTATATCTGGATTGATGTAGCTTGAATAGCTTTTATTGTGTAGGAAAATTGGCCTTGACAAAAATGAAGCATTATAATTAACAAAGGGCAATAACTCTAAAATCATAAAGTACAGGTATCGGTTCTTGTGCACTGCACTTCTTCTCAATGAGATCTATTATCCACTGAAGTTTGAAGTCCATATCTTTTATAGTTTAGGTGAAATAGCTGGGAGAAAAATAAAGTATTATAATTAACAAAGGGCAATAACTTTTGAAGTACAGGGAACTGATTTTTGTGCACTGCACTTCTTCTCAATGAGATCTAACAACCTATGAAGTTTCATGTGGATAGCTTTTACAGTTTAGGAGAAAGGCCACGGACAAAATTAAAGTAAGAAAATTAACAAAGGGAAATAACTCAAAAAGCATCAAGTACAGAGTACCTGTTTTTAAACATTGCACTTCTTATCAATAAGATCTATCATCCTATGATGTTTCAAGTCCATAGCTTTTAAAGTCCAAACGAAAAAAAAGTATGAAAATTAACAAAGGGCAATAATTAAAAAAATAAGAAGTACAAAGTACCAGTTCTTGTGCACTGCACTTTTTTCTAATGAGATATATCATCCTATGAAGTTTCAAGTCCATAGCTTTTATAGTTGAGAAGAAATGGCCTGGACAAAAATAAAGTATGAAAATTAACAAAGCGCAATAACTCAAAAATTAAATGTCTCCTTTACCAAATGTCTCCTTTACCAAACTGACACAAAAATTGCAGAAGATTTTTTTCTGTAATATTAATTAAAATGATTTTTAACTGGTTTGGTTGGAGTTATCTTAATAAATTGGCAGTATTCAGTTAATTTACAATAAGCAGACAATCAGATGTTTCTAACATTTTTCTGTCTGTCAATTGGAGGTGTGGCCTCTGTGGAGGTGTGGCCTCTTTGGAGGAATGATTTCTTCAAGGTCAAATCAGCAAGTATATTGTAATTGACAAGTTTTAGACATGACCAGTGTTTTGTGCTATATACACATGTAGTATTGAAATAATGGGTCACAACAATTAAGTTACCTGTGAAAAGAATGCCTACATGTTCTATAACAAGAATAATGTGAGAAAAAATTATCTGTTATTTAACTTTGGTTGAGCCCTAAACTTTAGGTAATCTGTTATGTAGGAAGTGATAATGTGTTACTTAATTGAAAAGTTCTTATGTATTTACTAAACTTATTTATATAATAATGTGTTATTCATTTACATAACAGACAAAGTTATTATCAAAGTTCAGTTTCCTATGATAAAGTACAACTTTATGCTCTAAAAACATACAAAATTTTAAGATTTTAGATTGCCAGTTAAATATTTTTTAGCGAAATTTATAAAAGCAGATTATAATACAAAATAACCAAAGCTATTAGTTAAACGTCAAAAAAAAATAGCTCCTAGCTTTTTATTAAATATAGACTTAGTAACTGGCATTTCACTAAAATAGCATTAGTTATAGGTTTTTCATTAAATAGCCCCAGTTATCAATTTTTCATTAAAATAGCCTTTAGGTTGTTGGCTTAAGTTTTCATTTAAATAACCTTAGTTGTTGACTTTTCATTAAAGCAGTATTAGTTATTGACCTCATAAGTATGACTTTTAATGAATTACTGGCTTTTAATTAAAATAGACTTTTAGTTATTGGCTTTTTATTAAAATAGCCTTAGTTATTGACTTTTTATCAAAGTAGCCTTTAAGTTATTGGCTTTTTGTAAAACTAGCCTAAGTTATTGACTTTTCATAAAAATAGCTGTAGTTATTGACTTTTTATCAAAGTTAGCCTTTAAGTTATTGGCATTTTATTAAAATAGTCTTAGTTATTGGCTTTTTATTAAAATAGGCTTAGTAATTGACTTCATTAAAAAAAACCTCTAAGTTATTGACTTTTTATTACAATAGCCTTTAAGTAAGTTATTTAAGCTTTTTATTAAAATAGCCTTAGTTATTGACTTTTTATTAAATAGCCTATAAGTTAGTTATTGACATTTTATTAAAATAGCCTTAAAGTTTTTGGCTTTTTATAAAACTATCCTTAGTTATTGGCAATTTATAAAATTAGCTTTAGTTATTGCTTCTTTATCAAAGTAGCCTTTAACTTATTGGCTTTTTATTAAAATAGGCTCAGTAATTGACTTCATTAAAAAAAGCCTGTAAGTTATTGACTTTTTATTACAATAGCCTTAAAGTTAGTTATTGGCTTTTTATTAAAATAGTCTTAGTTATTGGCTTTTTATTAAAATAGTCTTAGTTATTGGTTTTTTATTAAAAAAGGCTTAGTAATTGACTTCATTAAAAAAAGCCTTTAAGTTATTGACTTTTTATTACAATAGCCTTTAAGTTAGTTATTGGCTTTTTATTAAAATAGCCATAGTAACTGCCTTTTAATGAAGATGAATATTTGGTTAATAGGCAGAACATGCACTTCCAATGAAAGGTAAAAACTGCTTAAGCCAGTGCTAGGGGGCATAAGAGGAATATTGCATCTTTTCATTGTTAAATGTTTAAAAAAAAAACCCATAATTTTGGACAGAAATTAACTGATGTTGACCTAATATAAAGACTAAAACATTCTATCATCATAATTTCAATATTACATGGCATAAAATTATGTGTTGTTAGAAAACCCATATAAACTCTTATAAGAATGAAACTAAATTTACGTCATTCCTATCAAAGTGGCGTATAAATTTTGATAACTGAAGGGATAAGTACTTCCTTTTTGATCAACTATCTTCACATAAAATATTGTTAACTGCAGTCTTATCACCTATTATTACAATCTTGAACACTCAAATTGAGTAGGACATTCAGAATTGCAAAAATGGAACATGAAGAATAAACATGAGAAAAAACGCAAAACAGCACTTGAAAGAATTAATCAGCACATTGTACGATGTAGTCTAAAGATTACGCAATTTTTGCACCTAAAATTTTATTTGATCCACTATTAAAGAGATCTTGAATAAAGAACTGTTACATTTCAAAATTTTGTAAATAAAAAAGGGTCCTATTTGACTGATAAATGTCATATCTGATTAACTAGATGTCATATAATTCTGGTAAATCTCTCCCTAGTAAAATGTCATATAGCACTAGTAACAGGTCATATTTCCCTAGTAAAATGTCATATATATCACTAGTATAATGTCATATATCACTAGTATTATGTCATATCTCTCTAGTAAAATGTCATATATCACTAGTGTTAAATGTCATATATCACTAGTATAATGTCATATCACTAGTATAATGTCATATATCACTACATAGCAAAAGATCATATCTCACTAGTAAAAGATCATATCTCACTAGTAAAAGAGCATATCTCACTAGTAATAGATCATATCTCACAAGTAAAAGATCATATCTCACTGGAAAAAGGTCATTGTAACCTCAATAGTAGATTGTCATATTTGACTTGTAAAGTGTCAAATCGGACAAGTAAAAGTCATATTTCACTATTTAAATGTTATATTTCACTAGTAAAATATCATCACAGTTCATATCTTAATACTTAAAGGTCATATTTCACTATTAAAATGTCATATTCCTCTAGTACAATGTTACCACAGTTCATATTTTAATACTTTAAGGTCATATCTCACTAAGGAAAGTTAATTATTTATATCAATGTTATTATTTTTTTGTAATTTCTTTACCTTTAATTTTAATCTTATTTCAATAAATTCTCTCTTAGAACATAAACAGTACTTAAAAAACAACACACATACAGTTACTTATTGTTCTAGATATTTGAAAATATAAGATATATAATAATTACCTCCCTTGTTTCAAAAGTATGTACAGTATTAGTTAACTCATTTCTATGCAGACAACTTGTAGTATGGTATAATTGTATGAATTATGCGGCAGGGGACATATCAAAACTATTAATTACACAGATACGGTTGTTTGTAAGGTATTAAAACTTTTTATATTTCTCTATCAACGAAATACTTTCTAGTTAGTAATTTTGGTATACACGAAACTGAACAATTTGGAAGCTTTGTATGTATTTGTGTCTTTCCAAATGGAGGGAAGAAAATTGAAAATCAAGCAATGACAGCAGGAACTTTGAATATTTTGAGAAAATTCTAAAAGTTTATTGGGCACATATTGGACATAATGTAAGTTATTGAACAATGGGTTACATTTTGGTGGACACACACTTGTTTCAAAAAGGGTGTAAAAAGCACTGAATTCTTACCATGCAACATCGAAGCAGATCTTGGACAGTCAGATAATGTAGAATCTTCAGTGATATATCCTTCGGTAATAAACTTATAAAATCTTTATGCTGTCGAGCCTTTAAAAAAAAAAAAAAAAAAAAAAAAAAAAAAAGAATAAAAACATTATAGTAGTTTTTAGATGTTGCTAGAATGTAAATTTATTTTTACAAATATATGGTAGTTTAAACATATCATTATGTTGCATGAATACAAAATTTTACTACAGTATGAAAGACTTGGACATGAAGCTATAAAAGTTTATAAAGGCCTACTCCCTTAGTATACCAGTAAAATTTTTAATCAAACGGCCAATTAAGAATCTATTAATTTTTCTGTTTAGGTCTGTATTACAATGAATAATTATGTTGATAGTATTTTGGTGTTAGACAGAATGACAAACCACGAAAAAATTGTATGTGGAAGTTGTTGCCAAGTGAAAGGTCTAATGTTACATATATTCATATAGCAGATAAAATGTTCTGAAACAAAATTTTATTATTCATCACATAAATGTTCATTCTGAATCATTTACAATTTTATGAACAATATTTCTTTCAAGCAACATTTTATAAGAATATAGAAATGACACATCTTGAATGCTTTTATCAATGTTTGAAACACTGTTGGGAAATGTACCCATTGTAAACCTATTCACTTAAAACTTTAAATGGACTATTCCAATTTCAAAGCTGGGAATATCCATTATTGAAATTTATCAGGTTATGAAAGGTGAAGTATAACTTACAGCAAGAAAACTTGAGACAAAGTAATGTTGCCGTGGATCTAGTTTCAGCATAAACTTGTGCAGGAATTCATTTCTCTTCACATCTGAAAAAATTTCTTATCAATGATTCATCTGAACATAAAAAGAGAGAAAGGAAGACATCAGATGCCCCTAGGTGTATATATTAGGAGTCTAGTACTTTCAGAATTTCTTTATAATACATTTTTGAGTCTGTTTCCTAGAATTTACAAGCACTGGTGTCAAATGAAGCAAAATGGTTGTGACCTGTGACATGTTGAAAAGTGCTACCCTTAATATTCAAATAATTATCCTGATTTCTATAGTTTTTTTAATGGCTTAGTTTGTACAATGCAAATCCAGTTCATATATTTTAGAATTTATAGTGCAGACACAAAATTTAAATTTTTACCTTTAAGGATGACCTTGATCTTGAGTCTGCACAGTGGCAGCATGGGTTTTGCAAAAACCTTGTTGAGGTCAATATTTGAGTAAAGTTTGAAGAAAATGCCTTTATGAGTAAAGGAGACAAAATTGTTTGACATTTTGCACTTTACAGGTTATCTTGACCTTGAGTCTGCAAAGTAGCTACATGGCTTTTGCATATTGCTTAGTTGAGATAAACCTATGAGCCAAGATTGAAAAAAAATCATTTAACTGGTATAAAATGTATAAAGTGCACACAAAATAGTCCCACATTTGACATTCAAGGTGACCTTGACCTTAACACTGATCTGTGGCAGCATGTGTTCTGCACATTGCCTTGGTAAGGTAAGCCTTTTTGGCCATGTTTGACCAAAATCCTTCAAGGGTATCATATAAGATCTATAGAGGGGACACAAAACTGTCTGACACTTGACCTTTGACTGGAGCTGACATAGCAATGGCATTTCGAGTTCTACACATTGCCTTGTTAAGTTGAACATTCGAGCCTAGTTTCAAAGGGTAGAATTTATAGAGTAGACATGAAACTGTCTGATCTTACACCTTTGACCTTCATGGGTGACCTTGAGTGCACAGGGGTAGCCTGTGTTCTGCACATAATGGTCTACACTTTGAGGTGAATATTTGAGGCAGATTTGAAGAAAATCCATCAAGGATTTATAGAGCAGACAAGATGTGGATGAACTGTTACTTACAAACTGACCAACCTGACAAGTGATTCCCGTATAGCCCCCTTCATATTATGTGGTGGGGGGTTTATAAATTGCATATATATCTACCAAATATCTCAAAACCAATCCCCCCGAAATAATCATAATCATTCAAAAAGTCAAAATATAATAATCTTTCATATTTAAACTTTCAACTGCTAGTCAAAATTTATTTACATTCATCCAGAAGTATTTCAAAATGACATGAATGACTCCAGATTGTATAAATCAAGGTTTAAGCAAATATATACCTACATGAACGACTTTGAGACTGAATTTTGGTACAATATCTTCAAATCATGAAGGAATTATGGGTAATCCAGAAGCAAACATAAAATGGTGATAAATAACATAATCTAGGATAGCTTAAATACCTTGATATCCTGAAAGATTTCCTTTTAATTGTTTTTTAATACTTTGAGAAAATTTACTGTATTTGTTCATAGATTTTGAATATATTTATCTAATTCTTCAATAACTGGTTTGAGAAATGTAAAAGTCATAAATTTATCTACCCTAAAAAAATGTTTACAAAGTTATGTTAACATGATTGTATGATATAAGTTTATCTATAGTCGCCACAGGAATCTTACGTAGGCGATTCAATCCAGAGCACTGTTTGTAATTTCAGTTATTTTATGAAGATGGATATTCATTATGAATGAAATATTGAGAAATATTGATGAAATAAAATACATATTTTCATTTTCCATATTTTTACTGTAAAAAAATAATTTCTCACTGCATTTAAACATATTTTCCGTATTTTCACTGGTGTCTTGCTGAACTACTTTCTGCTATATACAGCCAATATACAAAATTTAAAGGAAAGTCATTCAAAGTCTGATGTCAAATAAGAGAAAATGTTTATAATAAACAGAAAATTCAAGTTTTTCTACAAAAACAGGATTTATTTTCATCTTGTGGTATGAAAATTATCATATTTCACTGTAGCCACTCATGAAATATTATTTATTTTCATACCACTTGATGAAAATAAATACTGTTATCATAGAAAAAAACTTAAATATCCTCTATGTTTATGATGGATACAGAATTAACTATATTCAGGCTGGAATTTTTCCACATGCTATGTATAAAGCACAAATATACAGGACAGTGCTTTTTTTTAAGTCTCATCAAGAAGACTGTATAGTAATTCAAACTGGCAACAGCAAAGGGCTCAAACTCATGAGAATGTGTCCCGTAGTCACACAATATTATTACTGGGCCACAAAATAAATGTTAATCACACTATGTTAATTCTTAATCATTTGCCGTAGTATTTCTTAACCCTTTGCCGGCCAACAACAACTGATTCTTCCAATGCCACAAGTACAGACAGAGGTCAACCAGCAAATCAGTACCATCTGATCATGGCCTGCACTGTTCACTATTCACTCAGTCCATTTAAATCATTTAGTAGTGCAAGGGTTAAATAGACTTGACCAGTTTCCATTTTTTTAACTGTCCATTTTCAATTGATTTTTTTATATAATTATATCAAGATGAAAATTTTAAAAGTTGATCAGACTGTGCAACAGATATGCAAGCTGGCCTGGCTCTATACTGGTGGCAAAGGCTATTCACTTTGGGTTTCATTAGGGTAATTATAGAATTTAAAGTCAGTGATGAAGTATACCTGACCAGTTTTGAGAGTACCAGTTGAACAGAGTAATGGCCTCATCAGGAATGGACAGTGAGTACAGATTTAGTTCAGAGCCTCTCTCATTCTGAAATATTAACATGTTTTACTATATCCTGTTCATAATTATAACCATTTAATGTATATTATAGTTTTTCTTTATTTTAAGCAGGATTTAAGCCTACTTTTTTTGAAAATTGAGAACATATTATTATTAGCAAACACATCTAGGCATCTTAAGTTCACAGAGATTACCTGTATTTTAGTAAAATATGCAAAAATTGTTCCTTACCTGGAACAGTGTAGTAACAAATAGTTAATATAGCTTTACCAAAAAAAAGGATATGCTTCAGACCTTAGTTTTGATGCCTAATCAACACAGTATCGGTCATGGTGACTTTCTACCTTTTATTGGCAGTGGAAGTCCTCAGGTTGCCCCATTGTACATAATTCCAGGCACCTGAGTAGAACCACCAACATTCTGTGAGCTATCAAAGTTATCTAAAAGCTAATTATACCACATAATTATTTTGTTCTTCATAATTCAACAGATCAAGAGATGGTAAAAGAAAAGTATTTCAATGTCATTAAAACAAAGAAGGTTCAGTTAAGCTCAACTATAGTTAAATGTTATATTTGATTCAAAAGAAAACTATTAGGATTTCTCTTGAAGTTCTCTGTGTCATGGTGGCTGATTTGTGCCATTTGTGTTTTCGCCCTGCGACCACACCGAGCGAAAAGTTGAGAATAAACAAGTTAAAATGGCGAGGTCGTGGAGCAAAAACACAAATATGAAGTAAGTTTAATTAACAAGAAGCGCCGCAATGCGACGAAAACCAGGTTTTCAACGACCAAGTTTTGATGTGAAAGCAATCAATAGGTCAAAGTGCACTGAAGTTATTGAGTAGAAGCTGAAAATTCTATTGTAAGCAAATGACCTTGAACTTGCTTCCAGATATCTAAGTGGCAATCCAAAGCTGCCACTCAGCAAGTTTGGTGTCAAAAGGTCAAAGCAAACTCAAGTTATAACATGAAAACTAAATACATTAACCTTGATCACAGACACCTGGGTAGCAATCCCAAGCTGCCTCTTGATATAAGCTACCCATTCATCAAGTTTGGTGTCAATAGGCCAAAGCAAACTCAAGTTATTGAGCAGAAACTGAATTGCTATTTTTAGTAACAGTGACCTTGACCTTGATCACAGACACCTGGATAGCAATCCCAAGCTGCCTCTTGATAAAAGCTATCCATACACCAAGTTTGGTGTCAATAGGCCAAAGCAAAATCAAGTTATTGAGCGGAAACTGAATTTCTATTTTGAGTAACAGTGACCTTGACCTTAATCACAGACATCTGGGTAGCAATCCCAAGCTGCCTCTTAATACACCAAGTTTGGTGTCAATAGGTCAAAGCAAACTCAAGTTATTGAGCGGAAACTGAATTGCTATTTTTAGTAACAGTGACCTTGACCTTGGTCACAGACACCTGGGTAGCAATCCCAAGCTGCCTCTTGATATAAGCTATCCATACACCAAGTTTGGTGTCAATAGGCCAAAGCAAACTAAAGTTTTTGAGCGGAAACTTAATTTCTATTTTTAGTAACAGTGACCTTGACCTTGATCACAGACATCTGGGTAGCAATCCCAAGCTGCCTCTTGATATAAGCTATCCATACACCAAGTTTGGTGTCAATAGGTCAAAGCAAACTCGAGTTATTGAGCAGAAACTGAATTTCTATTTTTAGTAACAGTGACCCTGACCTTGATCACAGACACCTGGGTAGCAATCCCAAGCTGCCTCTTGATATAAGCTATCCATAAACCAAGTTTGGTGTCAATAGGCCAAAGCAAACTCAAGTTATTGAGCGGAAACCAAAAGTTGACGCCTGCCCGCCCGCCCGCCGACTTTGGCATTACAATAACCCGGTTTTCGTTGAAAACCTGGTTAATAAAACTATGCCATGCAGGGTCTCGAAGCAAGATTTAAGAAATAAAACAGCTGGGGTGCGGAGTGAAAACACGCTTATTACCACCACCACAAATAAGCATGTTTTCGCTCCACGACCCCGCCATTTTAACTTCTTTATACTAGACTTTTCGCTTAACAGGATTGCAATGCGAAAACACATGAATTAGTGAGGGCGCGGGCAAAGTTTTATTTATTAACATTCGCACCACACAACCGCTAATAAGCGTGTTTTCGCTCTGCGTCCTGCTGTTTTATTTCTTAAATCTTGTTCTGTGCCCTCTTATTTGTGTGTTTTCGATCTGCACCCATGCCATTAACTTGTTAATTCTATACTTTTCACTTGGCGAGGTCGCGGGGCCAAAACACGCTAATAAGTGAGGGCAGAGGGCGAAGTTTTATTTATTAAACTTCTCTTTGTGACCCCGCTAATTAGCGTGTTTTTCCTTTGCGCCCCCACCATTTTATTTCTTAAATTTGCTCCATGACCACGCTGAGCTCAGTTTTATTTATCAATCTTCACCACGTCACCGTGGTCCCCCGCTCCAAGCACCTGGCCATTTGAACTTGTTAATTCGCGATTTTTCACTTGGCGGGTCATGGGGTAAAAACACAAGTGGCACAAATTAGCCACCATACTGTGTAACTATTTCCAATATATTTGTTGCCAGTATAAATATACATGTAAATTTTATTTGCTTTTTTATTACCTTTTGTTTGAGTTTGGCATTTCTGTGGTTATTTATTGTACTCAATGACCTGTTGACTGTGCTCACACACGTTGATTTACTGTGACCTGTATTTGAAGACAATGTAGTGGTAGCAGATGTAACATGTGAACCCTGACGGGGACTTCGCTCATCTTGTATATGACGTCGTATTGGCATATCTATGTACCTAGAATCATAAGTAAACATAATTCATGGACTTTATGGATGAGGATATTGTCAGCTTGTACAATGATTCAGACTTTAACTTAATCAAAAATAAGCAGTTGATACAGAAAGTTTCATCTGTATACATGTACCTGGTTTATTCAAAAGAACCTACATTTCTAGCAGAACTAGATGTTTTCTGAATCTTACCAATGGCAGGATATTTAAGTGTAAAAAAAAGTTTACCATAAGAATAAATATTGGCAAAATATGTGTCTAATATAGAGTCTAAAAATACTGATTATTAAAATGTCGGGAAAATCAGTTTATCTACAATGTACATTTAAACAATAATATTTTTTGCTGTAAGTCCATCTTAACTACATGTATTAAGAATACATAAGCTCAATGCTTTAATTTTAAAGTTATTTTAAATGTATACATTAAAATTTTATGAATTTCACAGTATTGTTAAGATTACGTTGATAAATGAATATAAATTCTACTATAACATATTGGCAAAATTGAAGATGGAACATTCCAGAACATCTGTAACTAATGTTAACATTGAAGATAAGGCCATTCAATATTAAATAATGTATTATATACAAGCGTCATAATCTCTCATCCTTTGATTGATTGGTTGATTGATTAATGAAATACGTCAAGTTGTTCTTCAAGTCCATGTATTAAATAAGGCAAACTTAAACTTTCACTTACAAAAGCAAAATATCTGAAAATTAATCATTTGTACACTTAAAAGAACATGTTTACTATTTAATGCTTATGACAAAAACAAATTATTTCATATTGGCCTCTCAAAAGATAGATGTAAAACTTGAAGAATAACAACATATTGAGTAAACAGTTTGTACAGAACATTAATCACGAAAGAAAAATCAGCAACCTCCGATAATTAGTCTGCAGAAAAGCAATTCTTCAAATCCTGCAAATATTGAATACTTATAGAATTAGCAGTTATCGCACGATGTTGTTTATTTTTAATCTAAAATGGCCAAAACATATTTATTCATATTACACATTTAGTACAAATTGTTGCGGCCACAAATTTGAAAATGACGTCAGAGAGAAATTTTGCAATTTTTGTTAAACAAGTTTTAGGCTTTACAATATCAAAAGATGAAATAAATCTTGCATTTCTTATTGTCATGACATTATGACTTAGTAAACTTAAGTTACGGAAGTATAATAAAGCTTGTCAAAAGCTTGATTGATGACAATTTCTAAGACTTGATGAATATATAGAGGATATTTGTTTAGTTCAGTGTAAGATCGGAATATATTTCACCGAGTGAGCATCAAAAGGTATATTTCACGAGTGGCGCAGCCACGAGTGAAATATGAACTTTTGGTGTTCACAAGGTGAAATATATTTCGATCTTACACTAAACTAAACAAATTTTCTTTTTATTATATGCAAAGAAACGTTTTAAAAAGACATTTAACCTAATACTGAATGAAAAGTGCGCCAAATAATAATATAACGTGACGTCATTTACGACGTCACGTCATTAAGTTGGTTCCCAGTACTGTGCACGCTGGTATTTCACTGAAACAACGTAAGGGGCTTAAATTCAAAACAGTGAAATTATCAAAGTGGTAATTTCACTGTTTCAAACAGTGAAATTACCATTTTTATATCACTGATATATTTCTATAAACCACCGAAAAGCATGTAATAAAAGTCTTATAATTATGAGATGACAACACATCTAAGATAAATGATATATAGTCTGATTAATATATTATACAAATTTTCCATCTTTTAGAAGGGATGTAAGAGACTGATTTCATAATAGAATTGTAGATAATAGAGCATGGAAACAATAAAATTTCATTTAAAAAACTGACCAACACATCTAAATACAACTGTTTTTCACAAATTTCAACACAACATTTTACATTTAAGCAAACAGCATAAAATCTTAAGCAAGTGTTCGAAGGATTTTTTGGGACTGTGTAAGTAACACTAACACTGCCATTTTGGAGACTTAATATCCCAGCTTTTACTTTTGGAGGGCAACCTCAGAGGAGGAGCCTCTTTTGCCCCTTCCAAATAAAGTAATATATGCCCCTTCCTCTTTCAGACCCCTCCTCGAGTCATTTGTAAAAATTTTACATCCTTTCATTCAAAATTACATTTCAATATGAAATGCAAGAAGGAAAATGATGTCTATAATTGATATGTAACTTATTTAGGACATTTCATGACATGGGAAGAAATAAATTGACATGGTAACAGATAAATGGACATGGGAAGAAATATATTGACATGGAAAGAGATACTTATATAGAGGATTCTGTTATTTTATAAAAGGGACAAATTGTTTTTCCCTCTAAAGGTATCAAAAACAATCATACTTAATAATTATGTTAATGAAAAGAAAATTTACTTTTGACTAAAATGTATTTAAGCTTTGTATTAATCAACAAAAGTAAAGAAAAAACTTATAACTTACAAAGAATACGGTTTCTTACTATCTCTAACACAAACTATGTTAACATGGGGGTAAGTTTAATACAAGCATGCTGTTATGTAACAATATATACAACAGAAATATAAGGCATGCAATTTATAGTCTAGATTTTCATATATACCTACCTGATTGAACTGTGACGACTGAAAACAAAATTATCATATCAACATGTGTTTTTATCTTAAATCTTAAAGCATCAAAGAGACATACAGTCAAACCTGTGATGATGTGGGTCATAAACACATTCAATCAATACATATTTTAAAATTTTCCCTAAATATGATGAATGGTTTTGTCCAGATTAAAAGAAGGGCAAGTCCATTTATGATATTTAGTGTGGTAAGGGTGCAAAATATCTTTCTTTTTTTTTAAATTCAATAAACTTAAAACAAAATGAGAGTTGTATTTGCATATTTTGATGTAAGGCATTTAAATATGTGGACTAAGAATGTCTTTAATATAGCACAGGTTTCATTGTACATGTATCTTCACCAGTTGAAGTGAAAACCTTACATGTAATAAATTACACTTCAGTGCACTTAACTTTGTGACATTTATTTATATTCAAGTGAAAATTTATCAACTTAAATTTTTCAAATTTCATTTTAACTTTGAGAAATTTGTGCGTGCCACTTTAAGTGTTACCTTATAAATGTTAGCTAGATTTAACAATACTGCATATTCTATTTCTTTATCAAAATTATCCAAAAAGGATGTTATTAAAATGTTTTAATAATAAAAAAAAATATTTAAGCCAATTAATATATTTATCAAACATAAAAAAGCATGACAACACTTTTTAAAGATAGAAATTTATATCTTAATTGACTGATAAATTATCATACCAAATTAAGAAACAAATATATTTCTCATTAACTATTCTGACAAAACTATTCTGACTTCAAAAAATATATCAAGTTCTCTAATCAAAGGGACATAATCCATATTGGATTATTCCAGTCTCTAGCTGTATTGTGCAAGCCTGGCAGTGATCTGTGAATTATTACATACATATAAGCCGCGTCACGACAAAACCAACATAGTGCGTTTGCGACCAGCATGGATCCAGACCAGCATGCGCATCCGCGCAGTCTGATCAGGATCCATGCTGTTCGCTATCAGTTTCTCTACTTGTAATAGGGTTGTTAAGCGAACAGCATGGATCCTGATCAGACTGCGCCGATGCGCAGGCTGGTCTGGATCCATGCTGGTCGCAAACCCATTATGTTGGTTTTGTCGTGACAAGGCTCATATACAATTACTGTGATACAACACTGTAATCTTTATTGTGCTTTTTGAAATTTCACACATAAGTAATATACAATTCACAAGTTTGTAAACTTTGTCCATCAAAGACTTACCTTAGATTAGGTTGACTTGAATACAAGGGGTTCCCTTCCCCCACCCATTTGTCGACATTATTCTTGTCAAGAGACGGGCTCCGTCTTGGTTTCTTTCTTGGAGTAATTGTGAGCAAATGTGCCGTCTGCTTTTCGGTACTGTGTACTGGAGACACCCTAAAATATAAAAATCAACAATTTTATTATATTGTAATAGTTAACTTCTGCACATGTGATTGTCTTGAAGTCAGGACAGTTAATATTTCATTGCATCATACTAACTGTACTATTAAAAGATGTTTTTCACATAACATGCATTACCTCCCCTTATCACCAATTTGAGGGGATCATTCCCAAATATATTTTATAGATAAAAATCTCTCATAATTTTATCACATTCATGTAAGCTAATAAAAACCTTTTTAACACTGGTGCTAAAATAATATTGTGCTTCACATATGAAAAAGAATTTGACAATTCACCTAGATCATCATTCTGTTTATAGATATGTTGTATGTCATGTGCTTTTAACATATATTGTATATTTAATGCAATAAAATTATTTGAGTTTGAGTTGAGTTTACTTTCCTTTTTTTACATTTGGTCAAATATGGAAATTAACTTTTAACCTTTTACCCCATGAGCAATTATTGTGAAAAAATGGCCATTTTTATTGAAAAGCCTCCAGTGTTACAAGTTCCAACTGCTATAAAACTATGAAAAATGCTTCAATACTGATGAAACTTGGCACATATGTTGACTGAACCATAACGTCTGTAACAACATGTTCAAATTTAAATTTCCTGTTACCACGGCAACGGGGGGACATCTCAAAATTGCGAAAAATCACTATTTTGCTTTGTTTTTTTTCCATCAAAATTTATTTCAAAGTGCTGCTACTTCTCAGGGGATTGAGATAGAGTCAAAGGCTTTTCAGCGTTGGTTACACGATACCATTATGATCAACCTGGGTTATTTTTAGCCTCTCACAAGTCCAAATTTTTCTTGGCGATGAGGGGGACTACCGCTCCCATTCAAACCCCCCAAACAGAAGGGGGCACATCCCCCTTCTGGCAACCCCCTGATGTATCATTTTGATGGGGGGCCACGCCGAAAAAGTGGTCACTTTTTTTAACAACATTTCTCAAACGAAAAACAGTGTTTGGGGCCTAAATAGGGAATTTTTTCACTGTTTGAGGCCTAAAAAAAAGGGGGGCAAAAAGCCGTTGAAACACGCTTACATCAGGGAAAAGGTTAATATGTAACAATAGCAATTTCTCCACTATTAAATGGTAGAAAGAAATATGCCATGAAAAAAATATAAGTCAATTTGGCATAAAACTGACAAAGTTTCACTTCCAGTTGGAAAACTTAACTCGCAATATATATTTCTTTTCCATTTTTTTTTCCAATTTTGCTTGCACATCTGTGAAGGCATGCTGCATTATATGCCAGACAAAAGTAAATGTGACAGGATAATTACCCATTACTTCTCGACAATAGAGGTAATCTCAAGGATTCTTTTTCCTGTATCTGTTGTTTAACTTCTGTATCATCTTGTAAATGAGCACTCTTTATCCTGTGATAATTATCTTGTCTCGTATATATCAGCTTCTCCTAAAATTAAAAAAAATTAATAAATAAGATCAGTCTGTCCGTAAAACAGTGCACTCAACTATTTTTAGTATTTCCCTGAAAGCTGGGATGATGGTCCGTAACAAGTATTTAAAGTTTTAAAGCAATACCTCAAAGGGTAAAGGAAATTAGTGTGGTGGTACAAAAAACACCAAAAGTGTGATGCAGATGCCCTAGAGAGAGGGATAGCTCTCCCTACAATATTAATATAATAGTCAAGCTAAAATCTGGAAATTAGAAATTGCAGATCAGACATAGGGGTATACTTGTATATTTATGGTGTAAAAATACACCAACACTGTAAAAGTCATAGAGCAACTTCTCCTTTACTCAGAGTGAAGAAACAATTAAAGTTGTTGCCTTATTTTTTGGTCAATTATTATTGATGAATAATAATATTTTGTTCAGAATTTTTTTTTTATCTGCAACTATATTAAGTTATAAATATACAATATTGGATTATATATCTAACACTTACCAACTACATTCATATATAATTTGTTGTTAAATATTAATACAGTTTTTTTTTATCGTAATTTATAGAACAATTCACTTAGGTTTTTTGGGGGTTTTTTTTGTTTTTTTGTTTTTTTGTTTTTTTTTTGGGGGGGGGGGGGGGTATTTATTTTACTCAAGTGGAGGCATGCTGCTTTAAAATAATAATTTACAATTATCACATTAAACAAATGCTACATCCTTTAGTTTTTATTACCCTAGCAAAACAGTATTTTACAATTTTCACTAAATCAAAAATTCATGTAAGTCATAAAAATCATGATTATACTTTTAATAAGTCCTTTGGGATAAATAACTTTACAAAAGCTAACTTAATGGTCCTAATAATTAAAGTAAGCCCACTTTTGTCATGTAAAGATAGTAACAAGAAATACCCATGGTGCTAGATGACATACACAAATCATGATAAAGAAAATATGTAGGCACAAAAGTCAAATTTCTATAAGCAATAGGCATTTGAATTCTAAACCAAATGAACTTGAAATTCTGTCAAGATTAGCAGTCAAGTTCCATTAAAAAAAATTCTCAAGGTGAGTTATTGTTATATTTCAAGTAACATTATGTCAATCCAGGAATAAATGGTGAGTGTTCCCGTAACATTAAAGCCCCATGTTATAAAAAACAACTTGATATATAATTATGTTCAATTGTTAAGTTTCATTTAGAGTGAAATAATGAATTATTTTTAAAATGCCTTGGACAAAATTCATGGGTTTTTGTTTATTTATCGTACAGTGACATAATTTTTAAACATGTTACTTTAGAATAACTTTACATTTTGCCTACAACCCTGAAGTGGTCAATTCCTACGTATCAAAACTCCAAATCAGAGTTAAATAGCCGATAAACACTGCTTTGAGACTGATATTATTTCTTAAAAAAAAACATAACTTATCAATAAACCCCTCTCCCAAATAAGTATCTATAAATATCCACCTTGGAAAATATCAGTAGTGTTCATTTTATAAAACAAGTGGAACAGTCTTTTCATATTGTAGGCAGTCTTTTATATTTTATCCTAAACATGAATTTGTGATTATCAATTATTGTTCAATCTACATTAAAGTAGTCAATCTTTTGAAATATATAACTAATTTATATCAGCTTGACAGTGAAATAAATGAGTATAATGTCACTTTCACCAAACTATAACTTAAGTAGATTAATTAACATCAAATCATTTTTTTGTAAATATAAAACTAATTTATCCCAGCTTGACAGCGAAATTAATGTTTATAATGTTACTTTCACGAACTGTGTGTGAAGTTTCAATCCATAAATAAATAATCCAATTGCATAAATATGCAAAAAAGCAAATCAGAGTTATAGGACTTGTGCCAATCATCTTAGATAATCACAGAGAATAAGTTTCAATCCATTCCCTTCAGTAGTTATGAAGAAACCAGCTTACAAGCCAAATATTAACCAAGAATTTCTAAGTCAAAAAAGGGGCATAAATATGCAAAAAAGCAAATCAGAGTTACAGGACTTGTGCCAATCATCTTAGATAATTACAGAGAATAAGTGTGTGAAGTTTCAATCAATTCCCTTCAGTAGTTATGAAGATACCAGCTTACAAGCCAAATATTAACCAAGAATTTCTAAGTCAAAAAAGGGGCATAAATATGCAAAAAAGCAAATCAGAGTTACAGGACTTGTGCCAATCATCTTAGATAATTACAGAGAATAAGTGTGTGAAGTTTCAATCCATTCCCATCAGTAGTTATAGAGATACTTGCTTACACGCAAAAACTTAACCATGGGTGACTGCATAAGCTCGATTATTTTGCAAATAGTCGAGCTAATAAAAATATATATACAAATGTAAATACTTCAGACACTCTCACCTTTAATTTTCTACTTGTATGTGTACTGACAGGCTGGAATTCTATAGCAGGAAATTGTGTCCGTGCTGTGTACATGAAGTCTCGGTGCAAGATCGGTTGAAGTGACGTGTTCAGGAACTGGAACTGGTTATAATTACTGCGCCGTAATATTCCCTCTACTATCTGACATCTCTAAAATAAAATAAAAATAAAACCTTTTTATTTATTTTTTTTTATCATTGGGTTTTTTAATTAGTCATATATCAACACTTTAAGGGTTATACCAAAAGTTGTATCCATGGCTCACTCACGGAGTGGTTCTGCTAAGGTCCCTCTGTCATGCCTAAAATAATGGATAAAGGGGTACCCGAGTCTTCCTGAAAAGTCATCTTAGGACTTGTACTGTGTTACTGCAATGTAAAACCCAACCAAAAACAAAGGTCTTATACCAGTGAAGAAAGACTTCAGGGAAATGGAGTAAATTATAAAGGCAGGTATTCTAAGAGTTCTGGATGCCACACCAGCTCATAAATTGCGATATTGTCACCTTAGTGCAATAACTGGTTTACTTTCATTAAATTTAAAAGTACTTAACCCATTACTGCACTAAGGTGACAATTATATTTCAAGCCTTGTGGCATAATTATTTCTCACCGCTCACCAAAAAAAAAAGAAAAAATTTATGAATTTATTACCATTTGTATATATATTTATTACTTTTAAGATTTTCCTGTACAAAAAAACGCACATAAATTAAAACAAAATTCTACTTCAAGATCATTAATGACACTGCAGTTTTTCATTCCATGTTTACACAGCATTCTCGAAACAACCCTTCAAAGGTATTAAAATGTTAAACAATCTAATATATCATCTAGTTTTGTATGTTTGCACTTTTTAAATTATGTTTTAAATCAATAAAAAAACTTGTACTTAATACCAATAAATTAAATCAGATAGATTAAATAAGATCTATTCAAAAAACTCTTATGATATTTTTTTTCTTAATTTTTTTTCCCTCTCGTTTTTTCAAAAGTCAAATAAAAACGCCTTAAATATAGAAGTCAGGCATGTAAAAAAAAAGCTATGTTTGGCTTCCCTATTAATGTTTCATGGTTATGTAGTGATCTAAAGACAGATTTCATAGGAAAGGTTGACGAGTGAATGCTTTAATTATTAAATGACATGCCAAGACTGTTTTTTTTTTAATTTTGCATATATTAATAGAGACATTAATGAAGATATATTGTAAAGATTAATGTACTTCTATCTATTCATCTAACAAAACATATTTTAAGTCCATAAAATGTATGCATAGTAAACTTCAGTTATATATTATGCTGGATGAATACAATCATGTCCTTACACAGGGAATTCTTGTTAAATTAGCTTGAGAATAAATAGAAAGCATATCTGCAAGAACTCTGGAAGAATTAACTGTCAAATGTTATTTCTACTAAGTAAAACTACTATGTATTTATACTGAAAGCAGGCAACATATTTTGTGTGTGTCTTGTTTTTTGTTGTTTTTTTGGGGGTTCTTTTTTGTATTTATTTTTTTTATGGGGTAAAGTCAGACAGCATAAAGGTCAATTCTGTCAACAATTTCCAGCTTTCTTGAAGGAGGAAGACAGACCTAAGTTGCTTCTTAACACATAATTATACCACCCTAAATATCTTAAATGGATTGGTTCATCCTTCAATATGGGCAAAACAATTCATCATTTTCAGAGAAATAATTTAAAATATAAACTGACATAATAGCAAGCAATGCAGACCATGATCTTCAGGTTTGCACTGGTTAATTGAGACTAGAGGCAGATGCTGCCAGCAGGCTTAAAATTTAATGTGCACTGAGCCACAAATGGAAAAAACCACTGACTTGTTTTATTTGTTTGATTGGGTTTTACATCACACAGAATAGGTCATATGGCGACTTTCCAGCTTTACTGGTGAAGGAAAACCTCAGATGCCCTTCCATACATTATTTCAGGCCTGAACAGGCACTTCAGAGTAGATTTACCACCCACATTACCGCCTGCTAGCTTAGGGATAGCTTCCCCACATGAAGAATCCAAAGTTCCTGTCAGGATTTGAACCCACAGCAGTGGGGGTCAAGTGGTTTGAAGTCAAGGACCTTAACTACTCAAGCCACAGACGCCCCCCACTCAACTTTCCACAGGGTAGATGGATTGTTTCAAAGCATAAAGCTAGGTATCCAAGGCACATATTTATTTCATAAGTTTGCATATAATAGAAGTCATTAGATTACAAAGACTAATGGAAGATCAATCAATGTTGGTTGTTTTGTTTATACAATAATGCCCTAATTGACAAAACTCCTTGATCAATATTTCTGTAATATATATAGGTCTATGATAGTGTTTCTATAAAGTTGTTCAATAGAATCATTCTATATTACAAAGAGTTAACAGTCATAGAAAATGAATTATGTTTAACCCTTGGAATATTAGCTTATTATCTTAACTTATTTTATCTTTTTCATTAAAACTTCTTTATTTCCTAACCCTTCAGTTGAAAAATACCTTATTTAATAAATAAACTTGTCCAAATCCGGATAAAAACCATTCATGATTACTTAAGGGAAAATCTCAAAAACAATCTTAAATTGTTCTGCACTGGTTATATGGGTAGGTGCAGCCATAATAATAGTTAAAAATGGACCAGACTCCTATAATACTTTTATTTTCATCTTGATATCCCTAAATTTATAATGAACAGTTCCAAAAATGGAAGTTGGACAGATTCATTAAAAAATTTCAGCAGGATTTTGGGTTAAAACATATTAGAGACACTCTAAAATAGCTATGCATTAATGTTTTTGCATATTTTGACCTCTATTTGGTAATTTGCGAGCATTGTTAGTACCAATTGCAATATGTAAATTACTTTTTGTGTTCATCTCAAAATATTTTACTTTTAAAAACATTTTCAAAATTTTCATGAAAATTGGCTTTAAAAATTACCATAAAATAGAGATATATCTTTTGTTCATTTAACACTTATACAATATATAAAGTACAGTATTAAGAATACACAATGAGATTAAGTACTTCCAAATATTATTGCTAATTTCACTTTAATAACAAACATTAGCTTAATTAGAGATAAAACACTTTCAATTTTAACATTTGAAATAGTTCCGTTCCCAGGGTGGCTCCCACCTTGTTATCAAGTTCAAATTGATTTTTAAAACTTAAGTAGATAATATTGTTTAATTTTATAAATCACTTTCAAAACTTTTCTGTTTCGAGATATTAAAAGCTTTCAATGGTTCAATCTTTAAGAGTTTAAATTAGTTATTATAATTTATTATATATCAAATTCAATTTACAGCCAAAAGAACATGGTACAACTATATTATGAAGTGTCCCTTTTTAAAAAAGCATTATCCTCTAAATTTCTTAGTTTCCACTTTTAGAACATTCCATATTCCATTTTGGGAATATATTGACAAAAATTTGACGTTAGACAGCCGATGGTATCCTCACTCAGTGAGTGAGCCCATGGTTCAACTGCACAGACATGCACTCAGGCTGGCCAAGTTCTATACTGGTGGCAAAGCAGTTAAAAGTTTTAGTGTTGGTAAGGGTTAACAGTACTAAATTATGTAATTAAATATTACATTTGTATGCTAAAATGGCACACATTTTCAAATGGAAAAAAAATATTTAAAAAAAAACAACACGCAGAAGACTTTAGTAATTATAAGTGTTACTGCAATGTTAATTTTTTTTTTTTTTTAATATTTGAATTGTTATTTAAGCCTTATTAACTAGGGTATATGATTTCAAAATTAGGCATTTAAATCATTGTATACTTGAACGAACTGGTTAACTTGCTTGCTTTAAAACATTGGCATTTCTTTAAACTATGTTTCATTGATATTTTACATTCAATATAGTCTTTGAATCTGATACTTACACAAGTATATATATGCTCAAAGTGGGACTGAAATTCATTTTATAGCAAAGTAAATATGCACGATTGTATACAATTTGACCGAAATTAATTTTATAGTAATGTAAATATATACCATTATGTCATTCTAAATGTGCAATAATAGATTTAATTTAAATCAAAATTAGGGTTAAAGGATTTAATTAAAATTCTTTTTAAATCTTTAAAAAAAATTTCAAATGAAGCCACTTTAAAGTTTACTGCACTCTTTAATTATAGTGTGCTGAATGAATTTTTTGTCTTGCTGTAAATTTGAATCTGTCCTATTATACATGTAGTTCAAGGTTGTTCAAAATCTAGCTAGAGTATACTATCAAAATGCAAAAGGTAAGCTAAGATTATGGGGGTTGGGGGTAAGGGGTGGGGCTGAGGGTAGGATAGTTGGTCTGATGGCACAAACTGGCCTGGTTTATTGTACTGGAAGCAGTTTTAACAATTTACACAGTACCAGTTCTGAACTCTCAAAGTAAAAATATTTCATTATTATAATTGAATATTCAGTAAAGAAATGTGTGCCATTTTACAATTACATTATATATCTAATTCAAATTTTATATAATCCTTTTTGAAATGAAATAACTTATTTATCTTTCACTGCAATAGCATATTTAACATACAGTTTTGTTAATTTGTTTAAGGTAAGGCTCGAGGTAACACTTAAGATATTTGGAAAGTAAATTCTTCCACTATTCTAAAGCTTTTAACAATAATGTGTGGGGTTAAAAAGACTAAGGTGAAATTATTTGATCTGTATTTGATCTGTATTATAAGAAAGTTTATCTTGAATGAATACAATGCTAGCATATTATTGTTAAATGATCAATAAGTATTCATTTTTACAGTTAATCTGAATTGTTCACCCATTATAACCATAACTAAAGCTTAAAGTAAAGAGGTGTTAAATGATTTTACTTGATCTTAAGAATAATTGTTGTGATATTTGAACTTAAAATTCGTGACAACAAAATGCATGACAATACATGCTATATATCACAAATTTGTATATTAACTTTTATATTATAGGCCTTTTAAAATGTGAAAGAAAAATAAGGAAAAGAACAAATTTAATGATTTATATACATATATATAAAGTATAAATTGATTTACAGTGCAACCTGTGTAGAGCTGACCCTTCGTAGAGCAACCACCTTTCTTGAACAACAGATTCATTATTCTGTCTAAAATAAAACCATACTTAATGAAAAAGTAAACGAAATGATAAAATAGTCAATGATGCTAATATTAGTGTTTTGGGCTTAAAAATCAGGCCAAACATATTTTTCCAGCAAGTAATTTTGCTTTACAAAGGACTTTTGATACATTAATAATCTTTAATCAAATATTTAAGGAAATCAGTATGAAGTCCCAAGGAAGTTACATATCCATAACATATATAACTAACTTTAATTCACATTAATGGGACTCTGCAGACTTTCAAGCCATTCACAGCTGCTGGTTCAAATTCCGCCATAGATAGTGAGGACAATATTATATGTAACATCCAGTGGACTTTAATATAGTTATTGTTTACTGTTATAATCCGGTGCATGTTTGAGCCTGTAAAAATGCACATGATGGGGAACCTTGGTTCAACTTTCATCGCTAGTACATTAGTATTGTCCTTTGCATAGGTGTTGTGTGATATTATTTTTAAAATGTTTAATGTCTTAAATAGATGTGCCTCTCTTTCAATCTGAACAACAAATTATTCGACATTTTTTGGGGGGTGAATTTTATATTATGTACTGACTGAATAGCCAACTCTGTAGACCATGATCAGAAGACCAGCTGATCTTAACTGAAAAGGTTGCATGGTAGAGACTATTGCCACCATCATGCTAAGAGTTTAAAAACACCCCACCCCATCCCAAACACCCCCCCACCCCAAAAAAAAAATGTAAAAAGTAACCATAATTGTTAAATCAATAATCCTAGTTAGGGAAGAAGGTTAGATTGACCACAGGGAAGTTTAAAAAGCAGTAAAGAGAACATACCAAAACAGTTCATCTATTGATCAAGATGACAAAAAGCTCACAAGCGCCAGTTACTTATTTACAGTATCAGAAAAGCAAACAGTTTTAACAGTGGCAATTATGAAGTAATGTCAATATATTGATGTATAACGTTTAATAAATCAGAAACCACTTTAACTGTCATACCTTACACCTCTAAACTAAACAAGTTCACTCGACAGAAGAATAACCCCATGATTATAGCCACTCCGGTAACGGGACAAAAAAGATCCTTTTAACTTTATTTCATTAACTTCACTACAATACCCCTTAAGAAACTTGTATTTTATTGAAACCATTCTGAACTATTGATGCATTTTGTATTAAATTACGAAACCCGTAAATGTCAATCAGAGGTAGGTAGTTCAATGAAATATCATATTGATCAGCATGAATTATACAAAAAAGAACATTAAGAATATTATCTTTTCATCGTAGATCTATTATATTTCTACTGAATGTTATGTTTACAAGCTGTTCCATTGTTTGTGTGTACAAAACTTAAAAGTCAAGTGGTGTGTGAAGCAGCAAATAAATTTGAACTTAAAGTATAGAGAAGTGTAAGAAAGTTAAGACAAAAGTAACAAAGGTAAAGCAAAAGTAAAAATTTAAGGCAAAAGTAACAAAGTAAAGAAAAAGGTAACCATGTTAAGACAAAAGTAACAATCTTAAGACAAAAGAAACAAAGTAAAAGAAAAAGAAAGAAAGTAAAAAAAATACATTCAAGTGTAACAAAGTTAAACAATTAAAGAGTTCAGTACAGAAAAGTGTCTATAATTAATAAACTTGTAAAAGTAGCTTATATCATTTTACCAAATAACAGTACTCTTTCATAAATAAACATATCAAAATAGCGTAGAGAAAAAACAAAACAAAAAACAATACTACACAGTAAAACCGTACATATTGGATTATCATAATTGCATGTAATTGGCCTTCTTTAACATATATAACTCTTGATTTTGAAATAAAATGAAATTTAAAAATGCTCATATGAAATATTCCCCCATGTGTATAAATTATGACTTTCATGACAAAATTTGAAAAAGTGAAGCTTTCATTTCTTTTAAAAATCCTTTAACTCTCACTGCATGACATCATACTTCTTAACAATAATTATAAGCTCAGTTAATATTTGGTGTCTAAAAAGGTTAAATAGTTAAAGGTGTGATTGCATAGACAAAGATTCAAACCTGTTCATGATTCCATTCTTCAACCCATACAGCTATCTTATCTAACTGCCTATCAAATTCCACACTGCTCATAGTTGGGGCACGACCCCCGTGTCCTCTCCACGGAATTTCCTCGGCATTCATCGGAGGTGGGGGAGTCGAACCCTTTATTCTTTTCTTACGACCACCATTACGCGCCAAGCTTGGTAATCCATTATCTGTAGCGGCCTGAACCTCAACACTGGCCATATTTAATGTATTATTAAAATAATTTCCTTTTAATATTGAATATTTATATCACATCCATTAATAAAAGAAATAAGTACATTCCTGTTCACATGTATTCAAAACATATTTCAGACAATTCATAGTATCATATCCATGTTACATATCACTATGTTACTAAATAACTTTCTTTCATATATCTATTGTTCCCGTATTTTTCACTCCAATTATTCTATTCACAATCAATTCAAACGATATATCTTACTAAAAATAGTTTAATTAATATAATGCAATTTGAAACTGTTTTGTTCCAATCTATAAGCTATTATTCATTTTAATATCTTGACAAGCAACGCACCATGCGGATAACTCAATTTTCCCCCTTAAAACCTGGTTAAAATAATTAAATCCCCATTTTTTAAAAATATTTTTCAAATATTTTCTAAGATTTTTTGCCATAAACCAGTCCAGAAACATTTTAATCAGTACACAATCCATCAAAAGAAAAAAAATAATCCAAATCCATTGAAAACAGAAGGTTATGAGTTAATCCGAAAAAATTTTTAATTTTTAAATTTAAAAACCTATGATCAAAATAATCGTCCCCCAGATTAAAAAATGAAATTAAAAATTTTTAAATATAGATAAAAATATACAAAAGCGTCAGTTTTTTGGCCAATAAGAGGTCAGACTGTAATTTATACTGGACTGTTTTTACCCGGGTATTCATTTTCCCCCCTAATCAATTTTACTGTATTTAAAAAAGGTGAAAATCATGAACGCATTTAGTTTAATACACTTTCCTGCCAAAAAAGCCCCTATTTTTTAAAAGGTAGTTTGGGCTAAAGCATAAAAGGAAATCCTTTGTTACTCCCTTTAAACGATTTTTTTAAACATGCAATCTAAAAAATGCACCAAAAGATTATGTTTTAGTACTTGTTCCTTTCTTACTATACATTTATTATTACACATTCCTTTAGTTTTTTAAAATATGAAGATTAAATCTAAATTTAAGTAGGTTGTAAAACATAAAGTATTTAAAATAAAATTAAATGGTAAATTTATCATTCATTTATATCAATGCTTATTTTAAGTAAAATCATTAAATGTGGAAAAAGGTCATCTCGAGATACAAACTACAGTAAAACCTGTAATGATGCCACCTATAAGAACACTATAATAAGCCGTATTATTAAAGAATTTTGTTTCAAATATGGTTTTTTAGTAACACTTACCCTGTATTTATCATGCATCTTTTCGGTTTTACAAGAAGTAGAAATCATCCAAAGTCCCTGTTGCTATTTTAACCTACAGCAGTGATGTATTTGTGGCCTCTTACAAAAAAGGTAGCAGTTACTTTATACAAACTCATTTTGAGTCTTGAATCACAACACAAACCACAAGGCTTAAGGTTAAAAAGAAATTCTTCAAGCTCAAACTCAGATCTCAGCTATCTGATTGGTCAGCAAACTCCCACAGAATGTACACTGACCAATGAAAATCCTGAGACTTGAGACAAGACTCAGAAAAACTTTTATGACATCGAGGCCAGTACTAAGCCATGAGTAAAGTTTCTTGCTCTTGGTAACAACAGCTTGCCCATGACAGGGTTTGAACCCATGTGGCCAGCAAGCCTTACATTACCAGTCGGGACATGTTAAACACTTAGTCATGCCACCACTCAATGTAACATGATACCTCTTGACATTCTTTATTTATTTATTACACCTACTGTTTTTTTGTTTAAGGCTCACTTATACTTTACGTGTCCCACTATAAATGAAATGATCACAGAAGTAAAAAGGTCCACATCTAGAATGCAGGCTCCTTTACACTAAGCCTGCAATAGTTTTGCAATAGGACCACTACGATGGTTATGATCTCATTATCATATGAGCCGCATCATGACAAAACCAACATAGTGGGTTTGCGACCAGCATGGATCCAGACCAGCCTGCGCCTCCGCCCAGTCTGATCAGGATCCATGCCGTTTGCTATCAGTTTCTCTACTTGTAATAGGGTTTGTAAACGAACAGCATGGATCCTGATCAGACTGGGCACATGCGCAGGCTGGTCTGGATCCATGCTGGTCGCACAACCATTATGTTGGTTTTGTCATGGCACGGGTCATATCAAATAACTGTCCTTTTATCAAGGTATGAATTGTCACATTAAACATTTACCCAATGGAGCTTAAGTTTTGTTTTGTTTTTAAGAAAAATACTGAATTTATTTGGTTAAAACCATGTGGGACAACCATTGCAATGAAGGACAACTTAAAGTTTAGATCATTTGTAAAGAGTAAGACCCAAGAAATTGCTTTGTGAATGACAGGGCACATTAGGAGAATCTAAAGACCTTTTGTGGTTGGGTTTTACGTTGCACCAACACAGTATAATAGTGTCATGATGGCGACTTTCCTGCTCTACTGGTGGAGGAAGTGGGGGCATAAAAAAACCTTGGAAACTCATAACAGTACACAATTGATTCATGTTATTTAAAAAATTTAATTCAATAGGAAACAAAATGTTTTAATATTCTTGACAATTAACTTATTAACTATTGTATTAAATAACATCTAATGCTGCATGGATTTTAACAAGTAAACAAAAAAAAATCATCATATAAACAAACAAAAAGATCACAAAATGACTTTTTCAATAATTTCTAAATAAATGTTTTCAATGGAAAATTCAGTTACAATTCAATATCTATGAGATAGAAATATATGGAACTTATATTTTTATTTTCATTTGAAAAACTACCTGAAATAAAAGAATAAAATGTAAACTGACTACCAAAACAAGAAATAAACAACAAAATTCAATGGAATTACTTTTAAATATATATAATACTAAAGTGTTTCACACATACACACATTATGCCTCATGATGCCATGATGGCCCTGAGTTCGCTCACCTGTATATAGGCCCCCGGAGCGGGGCCAGTTTAAACCCCAGGGATTTTATTTGAACAAACTTGGAAGACACCCATTAGCAGATGTTTCATGATGTTAAGTTTTTACTACACACATATAATGAAAAACAATGACCTCTGCCCACCCCACCCCCCCCCCCCCCCCAACGGCTTTTATTTGAACAAACTTGGTAGACACCCACAAGAAAATGTTTCATGCTAAACATCTAATCTCCAGCTCATTGGGTTTTTTAAAAGACGATTTTTTAAGTTTTTACTATACACATATAGTTAAAAACAATGACACCTCTGGGGCAGGGCCAGTTTTGACCCCAGGGCTTTTATTTGAAAACTTTGTAGACACTCACTAGAAGATGTTTCATGCTTAATATCTAAACTCTAGCTATTTCGTTTTTTTCAAAGAAGATTTTTTAAGTTTTTTCAATATGCATATAAGGAAAATCAATGACCCCCTGGGGCGGGGCCAATTTTGACCCCAGGGCTTTTATTTGAACAAAGTTGGTAGACACTCACTAGAAGATTTTTTCATGCCAAATATCTAAGCTCTAGCTCTTTGGGTTTTTTAAAAGAAGATATTTAAAGTTTTTTCTTTCGGTTGCCATGGCAACCAGAGTTCTGCATGGAATTAAATTCTTTGAACAATTTTTAAAGGTGACCACCAAAGGAACATTCCTGTGAAGTTTGGATGAAATTGGCTTAGTGGTTTATGAGGAGATGTCATTTAAAGCAAAAGTTTACAGACAGACGGACAACGGACGGACGCCGGACAAAAGGTGATCACTTTGTGACAGGTGAGCTAAAAAATGATAACAGGAAATGCCCTATAAATATATCCTCAAAGTGAGTTGTTTTTTTCAACATCACTCATTATTAATAAATAATTCATTTCCACAACTTTTCTTATTTATCTTATTATGTGATCTGACAAGTTTTTGCATTAATAAACGAATCAGACAGTCATAACCAAATACGGCAACAAATGATCCTTATTTAAATGACATTTTTGTGACTGGATGAAAATCTTTCTCATTTTCAGTTTTTTTTACTTTGCTATACGTTTCAAGGTATAAACCAGGAACCTAAATTATGTTTCACTCAGATTTGAAAGCTAATATTACGAGATCGATATATATTGTCCAGTGCAATAGTGAATTCTGTTGTACGAAAACCTATATTGGACAAGGCACTAGCTGAGTCTAATATAGGATTTGCAGCTTTGTATAGTATCTTTATTTCACATCCTGAATTTTTTACATTTTGACAGAACTTTGTTACTTCGAGTACAAAAGAGATTCAATATGAATTATTTTGGACTCTAAAAATGAAAACAATGCTAGACAGAATACAATAGTGATTCAATATAGACATTTTGGACTGACAAGATGAAAACAATACTAAATTAATAAGATCCAATAGTGTTCCAATGCTGGGAGATTACAAAAATTTAAAAGCTGGTTACATTTTATAAGGTATGGATTTAATTTTAAAATCTCATTGAAAACAATATAATTTAAATAAGTATTTGACATATTTTTCATAGTTTCAAAAATTAAAGTACACAAAAATACATAGGAAATTCTGTAATGGATATTATTTAATTAAAGGGACAGTAAGCTTTATTTTTTCGCTGGCAAGTTTAGCTGAATTAGAAATATATATTTAAAGAGATTCACTACCATAATGGTGATTGAACAATAATTAATGATGAAAAATGATAAGGATAAAGGAAAAAAAACTACCTAAATTATCAAAATACTGTTCTACTCCTTTTTAAAATTAAACAATACCAATACATTTCTAGCAATATTTATAGAAATGTCCATGGGTCACATGGATTATTGATTCTTTTTAATATAAAATTCAACATAATTATAGCAAAATTTAATTTTGATTTTTACCTTGGCACTCATCATTTACACTTGGATCGGCATAATGTCACTTTTAAGTGCCAGATGCACTTATGTAACAATTATATAAACAAGAGGGACATGATGGCCCTGAAGTCGCTCACCTGTATATAGGCCCCCCGGAGCGGGGCCAGTTTAAACCCCATGGCTTTTATTTGAACAAATTGGTAGACACCCATTAGAAGATGTTTCATGCTAGACATCAAAGGTCTAGCTCGTTGGATTTTTTAAAAGAAGTTTTTTAAGTTTTTTCTTTACACATAATATCTACACTCTAGCTATTCGAGTTTTTTTGAAGAAAATTTTTTAGTTTTTGCTATACACATATAAGGAAAATCAATGTCCCCCGGGGCGGGGCCAATTTTGACCCCAGGGCTCTTATTTGAACAAACTTGGTAGACATCCATTAGAACATGTTTCATGCTTAATATCTTAGATCTAGCTCTTTGGGTTCTTTAAAAGAAGATTTTTAAGTTTTTACTATATGCATATAGGAAAAATC